GCATACATCTAGTGAGATATAGAGTACAGTAACATTATTTATGAATTTCTACCACTGCAGACTATTCGAAAAGTTCTGCATTGCGCATTGCAGGAGGCAAGGGCAGGAGCTCGTGGTTTTGTAGAGTGCCTTCCTTGGCCCAGCACTTGTGCGTGCAACCTAGTTTGCAGAGCAGCACACCTGTGTGTTTGATGGAAGTGTACTGAACTTCTGCGTGCGACAGCTGTTTCTGGAACGCTCAAAATTGTTCCAGCATCTGATGAATCATAACAAAATTAACTAGGTTGCTCTGGCTGCATACTTGTTTGAATGTCCAAGCCACTGTTTTGTTCTGGAGTAGGCATTTTCATCTTGTAGTGATCAATATAGGTCTCATCTTCTAGTGTTTGAACCAACCGATTCTGGAAATGTATGCCCCGCTCATAGTACCAGTTCTTTTGTTCTTTGTTGGTGTTCTGTTACACTCAGTGCTGCATCCCTGCACTGCTCCTAGAGCATGTGCACGTAACTTCTTGCATTCGCTCGTGCAAGTTGCTTTGAAAATGTCGGAGTACCATGGAAGGTATATCCTAGCCTTGACAACATAGCACAAAACTGTTTACGCCGAGTGTGGGTTCAACGACACCTCTTTAGCAGAGCTGTGGAACACATAGACGCATACCCTTAGAGATGAGGTAGTTGACTTTCAGCCCAAAGCGCCATTTAATCTATAGTATTTTGTATGTCTAGAATAGCAGGGCAAGTCCCTCCCACAATGCTTTCTGCTAAAGTGGAAACTACCGTGATCGGTAGTGTCCTCAACAGCATTCGCTCTGCTGAAGTGGAAAAGGTATAAGGGTTTTGGGGAGTAGCTTGTTTTGCTACTGCAACAGACTTTAAAGTAGCACAAGAAAAATCTTGTTTCTCTTGTTTGCCCGAAGATAACCCCAGACAGATTTCGAATTCCTTGCTTGACACATAATTTCTATATAAAATGGCAAATAGAAATTTAAAAAATCCAGACACCACTGGCAGGTAAACTTTGAGTAACATTTTGAACCTGCACGGTCACATTAAAGTTCAAGATGGTGATGGCAGAGTGGTGTCACGGAGCTTAAACTAATATGTTTAAAGCCATATTGAAAATGTTTCAAGTTCATTGGCTGGTTCTGTAATGTGTGTTTGTTCTGCTGTTTTAAACTCCGGCATTAGTCGTGAAATGCCACCGAGAGCTGTAGCAGCGACTAAAAGGGCATATGAACGCAAGAAAAGTTTGTCCAGGTGAACGTCGACATCTCGCAGCAAGAATTGAAATCTTGACTGTCTCGCAAAATGTCTTCTGCCATATGGAGCATTTCCCGACATATTCAAGCGTACAGTGTCACTTGCACAACCAACATGCATGGGATGTGCCTTACTTAATATGTGGCGTAGTAGCATATGTTTGTCGTGTCTTATGACCCAGGGGACAACATTTATTTTATTATTTGTGATGACTAAGTGAAAATTTCATAGCTTATAAGGCTTGGTCTCATTTTTATAAATGTAGTGTTATTTTTGGTATAGCTTTCTTTTTATGTTCTGGACTGGATGCTTTGCACATGGAGAAAAAACTATGTTCTTGCGGACGCGTGGGGCTTGGCAGCACACTTAAAGGAGCCTAGTAAAAGTAGTTAAACCCCTCCCTTTAAAAGCTTTGTGCAATGAACAACAAAAAATAATGTGTACAACACCTCTTTTAAAATAATTTTAAAAAAGAAGCAAGAATCCCATTTTCAAAGATAACGGAAGTTTTTTTTTTTTTTTTTTTTTTTTTTTCATAAATAAATAAAAAAAAAGATCTATCTAAACCTTGGTAGTTGCATTCTGCATGTTATAAAGCGTATGCATGGCAGATTTGGTTCTGATAGGACAATATTAACTTAAATTTTTGTGCGCAAACTGTGAAAATGCCCCAAAATTACATGAAGAGAAAAACGCGTTGGAATGTTACCATAGATGCGTAGCGACACTCTTTCGCGGCGGAAAAATAATTTGTCTTAATAATTTTGCATGAGAAATTGAAGCTACAGAAAACTGCGATGGAGAGGAGGAGGCTGGGTCGTCATAATTCGAAGAACCGCGCACAAAAAAAAAAAAAAAGACTCAAATTTATGTCATTCTGGCTTGCAAGGAATTCTTTAAATGCTTATTCGACTAATTTTGCGATCATCACCGGTCCTTATTATTTTATTCATAAAATATGAAGATGCAAAAATAATAAAACCCAAGATCAATTTCTTTTGCAAAATAATGACGTCTTTTGACCCGCGAAATCAAAGCTACAGTAACAAGCTCCATGTTTACACTGAAATGTTACGATTAATCCCTTCGGGTACGAACGTTGACCTTGTTGAGATGCATGGGAACTCAAGTTGAACAGGCAAAACTCAATCTAACCAATTACGAGCCTTGGAAGTAGAAATGTTTCGAAGCCCCGGAACACGCGTGTCAGTGAACAATTGGCAGTGTTGGGAAGTGCTTGAAGTACATTGTACTTAAAGTACTACTTCAAGTAGGTTTAGTAAGCTTGTACCTTACTTGAAGTACATTCTCTGAGTATGTACAATTGTACTTCACTGAAAGTTTTTTTCTGGTACTTTCCGAGGAAAGTACGTTCCCCATATTTGGTTTTGTTAAATTAGTATCACGAAATAATGCTTTGTTAACTCGAAGAAATACTGGGAGGGATATTCTACCCTTACCAGAAACGTGAGTAGACGACGCATTGCTCCGTTTGTTCTGGGGGCGGCTTTCCCGTAGCTTTTTGAACTCTCGCTACTTCACGGTCGGTCAGTGCGAGCGAGGAGGTTTAAAATATTAGGCGAGCAAAATTAATCATAATGTAACACCTGAGACTGTGGTGCGGAAAAATTAAACTTTCGAGTCGAAGAAAACGACAACAGAGGAGAACGTCACAATGTTTTGAGACACTCTTTTGTGTTTTCCTTCGACTTGAAAGTTCCTTAATTTTTTTCGCATCACATTCTCAGGTGTCACATCCAACTCGCTTCAACACTCACTTTTTTTCTTTTTTTTCATTAACAAGAGGACATTCATTTATTAAGAGGATTGCTTGCGGAAGCTACGGGGCTGACGTCATGCTCTCTCCTTGTATACATTTAACCCCCTTGGGTGCAAGAATCCAGTGAAAGAAAATCACTATACTGTGATTTTCAGGAATTTGGCTAAATTCCTAAAAATAAGTACTCTGTGGCCACTTCATCAAATATTCGCCGCTGTTTTTGAAAGTAGGTCATGCAGCCCTGATCACTGTATAGGGGAATTAAAGGGCATCATGAAAGATTGTGTTAAAATACTTGTACTTTACATTGAAAGTACATTGTATTTTTTAGTACTTTACTTCAAGTACATTGCACCCAGTGTACTTACTACTTTACTTGAAGTACATCACGTTTAATTTACTTTGTACCTTACTTGTACCTTTTAGAGGAGCTTTACCCAACACTGACAATTGGCTGCAGAATGTGTTGAAGGAAACGGTCATTTATCTAACTTTTTGTTCTGGAAGCTTGCACTTATAATAAAACAATAAAACTTTATTTTTTCTTTACAAATTATTTTTACTGTTGCCAGCAAAATCCTTTCAAGCATCGTGTAGAAGCACCTGGATTTACATTACACTTTCTTTTCTCTTCAACAGGCATACATGTTCAGATGTGCTACACTGCAGACCTTCCTCAAAATTTACCTCGTCTATTCTATTTGTTTGTTTTATTCGGCCGTTTGAGGAACTCATCGTACTGCTCCGGAGATAATGGCTGCCTAATAACAGGAGCAAAGACCCGCTAAACTCTCTCATTACTCCTGCTCATGCCCCCCCCCCCCCCCTTTTTTTTTTTCTTCTTTTTTTTCAAAGCTTTTTTTCAAAGCAGGGTTTCCTGTGTATGTCTTGCCCCTCCCCCGTGATTTTATCTCCGACTTATTTCCTCGAATGTGGAACACTGTCCAATGCAAGAGGATATCCCATATCCTTTGCGTTGCGACCGACTTGCAAAGACTATGGAAATAAACAACCCCCGTCTGTTCCGCACACCGCAAGACAAGGATCTGGCAGTCCGTGGGACTGAGCATCTGATTAAGTACAGCCAAAAAGACATTCCGCCCGAAGCCTTTCCCTCCGAGCTGCTGGTCCGGAATACGAAGTAGTCAGAGGAGGGGAGATGTACCGGCTTCCGAAAGCAGGTACTTCCAGTTGTCTAAAACCTTCAAAGTGAGTGACCCCCGGGCACCAAGATAATTGGCGGGAAAAGGTCAAAGTACACCCGCCCATCTTTTAGTCAAAATAAGTTTATGGAAGTTTTCGATCGTTGTCTTTGTGGGTTTGCAATCGCCGGCTGAGCCAATCGCGCACACACACACACACACAAAAAAAGAAAAAAAGGCGCAGTATCCTTGCGCATTTACCGTGTGAGCGCCGTGACATTAAGACTCTTGGAAGCTGCTAGGTTGGCTTCATCGGGTAGTAGCGTTGACTGCAGTGTTCGCGCTGTGTTTTTTTTTTTTTTTTTTTTTTTGTAATTATTTGGTTTGTCAGCTTTCGAGACGTTGCCTCCTGTCATTCTGTTGATTGCTCTTCCACTTTGGATTCTCGTTCTTCACCCAGCCCCAGGTGTCTTATAAGAAAATGCAAATCTACACCAGCTCGCCTGCACCATCCCGCCAGTTGAATATTCAATGTCAAATGAAGACGAGTAGGGGGACGCGAAAAAGTTCGCGCTCTTTTTCGGTAAGCTTTCGTCGCTTTGGTCTACGGGCGCGCAAAAAAACGTTGGGCCACGTGGTCTTTGGTGTGGCGCGTTCGAGGAGGTGAATAACCAGCCCCCAACCAACGAGACACGGGCCGTGGGACGTGCCAATCAAGTGAGTTTGCGTCTAAACAGCCACTTCCGTCGCGTCATCGGCGGACGGGAGAACGAGTTTCTTTTTGCGTATGACGCTTGGTTTTGGGCCCTCTCTCCCACCCAACCCCCACTCCAAGGTCACGTCATCTCCCTCAACCGGGAACCGGAGCCGCTTTTTTTGAGAAGAAACAGATGCCAGCAGAGCGATGGGATCTCCCCTCCTGGGTGGGATTCGTATACTTTCTCCGGATTTCCTCAGCGAGTCGCTTTTCTATTGCGTACTTACTCATAGGCGCCCTTCCAGTGGCTCGCTCGCGCTTGGAGTGGTCGGTGGCTCGGTCGTGGTTTGTGTGAGTTTAGCAGTTGTCGCGAGTCTCGGGAAAAACCCGTTTCAGTATATATCTTTTTAATCATTACTTTCTCCGTGTTTGTGTATGGTGCATCAACCCCTGCAGTGTACGCGATCGCAATGCTCCGCTGTGGTCTTCTCCTGGCGGCTCTTTGCAGCTCTGTTCTCTGGCATCGGGTCGCAACTGCCGACAAACCGTAAGTCGTCGTCACGCAACGTAAATTGCGGCGTAGTTCGTGACAAAAAAAGTAAAAGAAAAGAAAAATATACAACTACTTATCGCCGCTTTTTTTATTATTATTTATTTATCGTTTTGTAGCAGATTAACTTGATCATACAACTCGTTGTGTCGAGGACATCCAGCGGATCTGTTGTTGAAATCGCCCCAATTCACGGAGATTTCAATTTTTTACGCGTATACTTGCTTGGCCTTATGAACTGTACATGGTTCTCGCTCTCTCTTTTTTTTTTTTTTTTTTATTCGGAAGGCGGAAAAACAAAGTTCCTTTAAGGCTCATTAATTACTCCGCGTCTTCGAGCTGCTTGTTTTTCCGAGCGCTCGAGAGGAATACGCGATTCAGTTCTGCGTCTTGCGTAACCCCTTCGTACGGTGTGCGTCACATATCCGACAGTGTCACCGGTTTGCACGCCAGTTGGACATCGCCGAGTCCTCCAAGCGCCTACGATAAAATTTCTCATGTCTTATGTAACGACGTCCTAGGATGAGTCGAGTTTCAGTTTTCAGTCGTTTTCAGTTTCGGCGACGGAGTCCCAAGCACGTGAATAACGCTAGTGCCAATCCAAATTATATAAGTTCGTTCGTTCAGATGAGCGTAACACGAATTCAGAAATAAGTGTCGGTTCTCACTATTGTTATCAGACCTGGTTAACTATTATTATTATTGGTTAGCATTCTTTTTTATTTATATATTCCACAAATACAAGGGGGCGCAAACTACAGGCGGCGCTAGCTACCGCCCTCCACTTTTTCCCGTGCGCGCGCATGTCTAGCAAAAAAAAAAAAAAAACCCCGTACCAAAAAAAGAAAAAAAGGGGGAACAAGCAGAACAAGTAAAAAATGGACGAGGGCGGCGGTCGGCCGTATCAAACTCGTGCAATCTTCAAGATGCCGTTCGGCCCTCGAAACCTGTAACCACTCTTGCCGCATACCTTCGACACGTTATTGACTGGGGCGTTCCGTGCTTTCCTCGAAAACCATGACCACTCCCGAAGCGCGTGCAAGTTGCTACCTGGGCTTTGACTTCAGCACGCAGCAGCTGAAAGCACTCGCTGTCAACGACCGACTCGAGGTGCTTTGCGAGGCGTCCGTCCAGTTTGACAACGACCTCCCCGAGTACCGGACCCAGAATGGCGTCAACAAGAACCGGGACAACCTGACGGTCACGGCGCCCCCGATCATGTGGGTCAAAGCCCTCGACATGGTGCTCGAACGCCTCAAGGTAGCGGGCCTTGACTTCTCGACCGTGTCCGCCATCTCGGGCTGCGGTCAGCAGCACGGCAGCGTGTACTGGAAGAGAGGGGCATCGGAGCTGCTCGCCAAGCTCGATCCGTCCCGTTTCCTGCACGATCAGCTTCAGGGCGCCTTCAGCGTGAGGGACTCGCCGGTGTGGATGGACTCGAGCACGGAGTCCCAGTGCCGTAGCCTCGAGGCTGCTGTTGGAGGAGCTGACCGTCTCGCCGAAATCACGGGCTCTCGCGCCTTCGAACGGTTCACGGGAAACCAGATAGCCAAATTACGGCAAACGAGACCAGACGCCTACGAAAACACGGACCGCATATCTCTTGTCAGCAGCTTCGGCGCGAGCGTGTTCCTAGGACACTACGCTTCGATAGACCTTAGCGATGGCTCTGGTATGAATCTTCTGGACATCCGCACCCATCAGTGGGACGCCAACTGCCTCGGAGCATGCGCGCCACAGCTGGAAGCCAAGCTTGGGGCTCCTGTCCCGTCTAGCAAAGTACTAGGCATGGTGTCCCCTTACTTTGTTGACAGATACGGATTCCCACCGAACTGCAGTGTGGTCGCTTTCACAGGTGACAACTCTGCATCTTTGGCTGGCTTCCAACTCAATTCTGGAGACCTGCTGGTTAGCCTCGGAACCAGCGACACCGTATTGATGTGGCTGGACGAAGCGCATCCTGCTCTTGAGGGACACATCATGGTCAATCCAGTGGCCCCCAAGTCGTTTATGGGCATGCTCTGCTACAAGAACGGATCGCTGACACGACAGCGAGTTAGAGATCAGTGTGCTGGCGCCTCCTGGGACCTTTTTGCTTCTCTCCTTGACACCACGCCGCGCGGAAACTTTGGGAACATCGGGACATACTTTGACCTCAGGGAGATACTGCCACCCGTGGTCGGAGACTTCAAGTTTAACAAAAACAATGACCGGGTTGCAAAGTTTTCACAGGAAGTGGAAGTGAGGGCCGTGGTGGAGGGCCAGTTCTTGGCGAAGAGGGTCCATGCCAAACGGCTTGGTTTCAGCTTCGGCGGTCGTGTTTTTGCCACGGGAGGTGCGTCTAAGAATCCGGGAATCATACAGGTGCTCGCCGACGTGTTTGGAGCTTCCGTCTACACCCTCGGCAAGGCCTCGGCCAATGCGGCTTGTCTCGGCGCGGCCTATCTTGCGTTTTATGGAAGCCGTAAGAAGGATGACGACGCGCTGGAGTTTTCAGATGTTGTCTCTAATGCCGGCTCGTTCACTCTGGTGGCCGAACCGAACAGAGATGCGGAATCCGTTTATGGGAATATGGCGGAGCGTTACCGTTCCCTGGAACAGAAGATAATCAGTTTGCAGGCAGCAAAGCCCTCATGATTGTTATCTCACCTGCCTGCCTGTTCCTTCCGTCCCCTGTGGCATGGGGCTTTCATTCTAGTGCGACAAGTATTGGGCGTTTCGTGTTTAGGGGCACTGCCTTCTTCTCACTCATATCACTGCCAGGCAACGAATGTGCGAAACAGATTTCATACAGACTGCTTTTAAAGAGCATGCCATAAAATAAAGAAGGCTGAGAACTCGCAGCATAGCTATTTTTATTTAAAATACTATTTTTCGCGCTTTAGTTTGTGTATTTCAAAACAGTTTTGTACTCCTAGAGAACTGCACCTTCGTTCCTTTTGAACGTCTTGAGCAGTACAAGACATAGTTATGAACTGCACTCTCGCATCACTTAGTGCTTTAATCTAGCCTATGGTGTCTAGAGGTATTGAGTCATGGGGAAGCATTGGCACAAGCAGATTAGGAATATGTCTCCCTCTCTTATTGCCTGCGCTTATCAAGTCCCAAGTGTCCTTGAGCTTGGAACTACACAAGATTGCATACAACTCGGGCTTGTCCGTGGCTGCAAAATATGTCGTAAGTGCCACACAGATCGGGTAATTTGCAAAAAATTACCTTTTTTATGTATGTTCCAACATTTATCTTAAGCTTGGCCCTTTGCTTCAGCTTTGGTGCTGGCTGCAGGAGTTACATCGAATCTATGTGGAGCGGGTTGTTTAGGTTTTGTGCAGCATAGTGCAATATGGTAGTGGCTTATGGTGCTCAGGCTTTTGCCATTTATTTATTGGCTAGTTAGGGTCTAGCGTTACTCGGTGTTAGCGGTCTGGGTACTGGTTTTGGGTGAAAGCACTTGTGATACTTTTTGTGCTTGTCCTTGGTACAGTTCCATATATGTGTTCAAAGTTACTTCAAGGGACATGCTCGAATTATTTCTATGGGGCAATAAAGCATGCTTTACTTTATAAGACATATCTCTAATTCACTTGTTTTCTTTTTGATAGCATTTCATGAAATGAGTCGACCTAATGCCTGTATAGAAATATGCATACGGCACCTGTGTCCTCCAGTCGACTTTAGAATCGCTAATATATCTACAGTTTTGAACTGCTACGTTGGTACTGAATTAAAAAACACAGATTAATATAAATGCAAGCAACATTCAAGCCGGCTTTGTAGCAGCTGTAGTCCATCAATCGTGGGCATAAGAGTACAGTTTTGAAGAATCTGTTTACTTAAGCAGTTGTTGAAGAACATTTCCTGTACCTTTCGTGAGATAAGTCGCTGAATGTAAGCAAATGCATTGTACAACTATGATGTCTGGAGGGAATCTTTAAATCATTTGTTGACCTTTTTTTTTTTTAAATTATTCTTTGGTTTTTTGTTTTGATGCCACAGCTGGATACAGCAGACACCTGTTCCGCTCTGGGTTGCTTTGCAGACAATCTTGACAGAAATTAAAGCGGCCATGGATTGAAATAATGGGACGGCGGCGACCCTTGCACCCGCTTGCCTTCTTTGGCACTTCCATAACCAACCACCAGGATTGCAACAAGCAGCTAAACAGATTACCGGCTTTCATTTAGCTGCCACAGTGCCGGCTTTGTAACTTCCAGATCACTTTCGATACATGGGAAGTGTAAGGCTCTAAGTACGTCAGTCGTAGAGGAGGCACTGTGTCGTACAGCCTAAAGTCTGAGTAATTTTTTTGCTGCCCATGTCTTTGGGGGGTTAGAGAAGCAATTTGGTTACTGCTCAGCAAACTATATGGCCCCTGCAGTTTGCTTAACGTGGCTTCGAGTTGAATTAGGGTTTCAGTGGAGCACTTGATTTGAAGTATTGAGCATTAGTCATCAAGACGGTTTCTTCCCTGCGATTTATAGTTGAGCACTAGGGCCCTAGCACACTGCTTTAGTTGTGTGCTTTTAGGTACTAGCAGCTCTAATGAATGTCCGTTTGGTCAGTCTCGCAATAGACCTTTTGCCAAATTACCCAAGCATCGAGGAGAATGCTGGCAGTGTAGGTACACGCGCTGCTCACTCTCGCTTTATCTATATAAAAGAATCGAAGTAAATAACCAATATAAAGCGCTGATAGTCGTGTACCAAGCACAATTTTGTTTTGGACAAAATCGCGCTAGGTGATTGGCTGATCGGCAACCGCCGTTTCAGTCCATTAAAATCTTCGAAACGAAAGGGTCGTTTTGAACCAATCGCGCCAACATCGCTAATACTTGTGCTGATACAAAACGCGAAGGTTGTCAAAGCTAGTGGGAATGACTAGAAAAAAAAAAAAGCATTTTGGAAGTTTGGCAGGCGATTATGGGCTTCACTTCTTCAAGCATGCAGTCACTTATGGTGCAAGTCAAGTCTGCCAACATCATCACATACACTCTGTCCCATGGTTCTTGCTGCAGTGCCTTTCTCCTGACGGCACCGCATGCATTAATACCCGGCGCAACCGAGACACTGGCTCTCAACGTCCTCAATCCCCCTAAGGATGGGCACGCCACAATCCAGTTGCTAGCGCCCTCTGGCCAGGTTTTGAGCGAGACGAGCATCAAGTCTGCCGGGGGTAAGTGTGTCAACGATTAGACATCTATGTCCTGGCGTGGAGCGATGTGTTGACAGGTTAAGAATCGAGTAGATGATCCGCTTTCATCATATGCTTGTTGCCTTTTGCTTGGCTTTGTCTGCATATGCGATGAAGTGTTACCAAAGGCAGAAAGCTTGTGCTCGAGGTGGAGCATGTAAGGTCCAGCATCTACTAGATTCTTAGCCTGTCGCCGACTGTAGAAGCTGCAGCAGAAATCTCTTTCCATTAATTTGCACTACAAAACACAGCCTAGCCACCTCACCTCATGTCCAGTAGACAGAAATTGGGAAAATCTTGGAGCTAACCAGTACTGATTGAACAGGTTCAAAATTTTCTTGCTCCAGCAGTTATATTTGTATTGTTCAGCCGAGCTTTTCACTGAACATTTCAACAGGTGTTTTTACGCAAAATTTCGGAGTCAGTTCTGCACTTTGTTTTTGACATTGTGTGCACTATTTAGGTGTAAAATTTTATATAATATTTGAACAGGCATATCATATCTAAAGTTTTTTTTTATTCTAATGTTACCCAATCTGTACAGCTATTTGAAGATGATTTATGACCCAACGGCTACCAGAGAACAGTGAAGTTTGTTTGAGAACTTTGCAAGTCATGCAACTTGAGGAGGTACCTTAATGGGATTTTTTTTAAAGATTATTTCATCTACAAGATAGGACTGTGATCTGATTTCTCTTGCAGAAGCTTTTCTAACATTCCTAGCAAATACGTTATCTGGAAAAGAAGGGTCGACATTTTTCTAGGTCTTGCTTGGCGAAACTAGTGTTGATGCATTCACTAAAAAACGTTTCACGAGACTATTTTCAGAAAAAAATTACTGGCTAATAGACCGATCTCACTAAGCGTTCGGCGCATGCGTGACGCCGCCATAACTTTACCCCACAGGGGGCAGACGGCTGTGCATGCAAGAACTTGTGCCGTCTCGTGCTCTACAAGCGTAGAGCTCCAGCGGGGTTGTTGCACGCGCAGAAAGACTAAAGTTCCCGCGATGCATTGCGGCAGCGGTGGCGTAGTCAAACTGGCCGGTGAGATCGGTCTATATGCTCTATCCACGTGCAGACTTTTGTACCTGACTACTTTGTTCGTTTTTCTCGTAGGATTTCCTCAGACCGTGTCCCTCAATGTCCCCAAAGAGCTTCCCGTTGGCAGCTCTCTAGCAGCAATTGGAAAGTTTGGGCGCTACAGCTTTGACAAGAGGCTCTCGGTGAAGGTGGCTGATGGCAGTGCTGGTCTCATCATAATCATCCAGACAGACAAGCCAGTCTACCGGGCTGGAGAAGTTGGTGAGTTTGTTGCACATTGGAATGCACTCTATTTGGTTGAATAACGAATCCCTTGAATCTCTGCAGTACGGCTCCGAATCCTCAGCATAGACCACCGGAAGCTTCCCTTGGCTAAAGATGCTGTGAGTAAACGGCCATTGTTGCGCTTTGAAAGTCCTAGGTATTCAGAAACACAACTTGCTTAGTCAGAAAACTATCGAACACGCACGTGAATGTTTTGCACTAAACACGACAACTTTGCCCTGGTGGGTTTCTTTCTCCACATTGCCTTCGTCGTTTGAGCTGTTTTGATCGAGAATAAATTTTTTGCACCTGTGTTTCGATAACTCTGTTCACAACTTGTGGAACAGAGTACCATAGCCAATGTATGGTTGACAGACTGCACAATTTGGTATCTTGATTCCTCAAGCTGTAATTGCATGCACACAAGGACGTAGGTGATGATTACTTTTAACCATGGTGTTTGTCAGTTGATGGTCGAGTGGCAGTTTCTCCACCCATTGTAAAAGATTGTAAATTGTCCAAGTTTCCCTATAATGTTTTTAAATCCTTTTTTTGCCATGTTTTTTGCTCTTTTTGCTTCCCTTGTGTGCATTATTTGACCCTTCACAACAGTTTATCAAGCACTTTTTGACCCCTTTTTGAGATCACAACCCTTCTTAAAATTGTGTCTTTCTATTCTTACCAGCAAATTTTTACATTGAATGCTTCTTCTCAATTTAACAATGAAAGAAATGTGTTCCAAGAAATCAATGAAGTGGCTTTTCTAAGCTGTATTGAAGATTCCTTCGTCTTTATTCCTGACAAGACTCCTGACAATATGTTCCTGACAAGATTAATTGGCTTTTCAGATTGGTGATGTGTGGGTGGAAAATGCAAACCATTTCAGAGTGGCACAATGGCACAATGTCTCCTTTTCTAGGGGTGAGTTCTGCTTTTGTTTTATGTCAGCATACTATTGGCAGTTTATCTGTAGCTTTTCTTTTCGTGGTTTTATTTTTGCGTAGGAGAAAGGTAGTGTATTATTTTTTCATAGCTTGTATGATGCATCTAGCATCAACATGCTTCTCCTGTAAAATAAATTCTATTGAACAATCAAACCATATAGCAAAAGTTATTGAGAAGTAATTTTGAAAAAAAAAAAGTGAGCCAGAACACATGGCCATTTATCCTCATGTTCCATGTTCCCTCTTGTCCCAAGACGTTTATCTCTAAACTTTTATTGGTTTTTTTTAATGTTTTTAGGTGTGCTCCAGTTGGAAATGGAATTGTCTAAAGAGCCTCCGCTTGGACAGTGGAAGATATTTTGCCGTCTCCTTGGCCGAGAAACTCGCAAGCCTTTCCAGGTGGACGAATATGGTGCGTTTTAGCCTTCCTAGCTGTTTTCTGGAAAGCCATACAAACCTTGTCAAAGCAGGAGTAGGCTAAAAGCAATCAGTCAAAAAAACAAAAAAACACAGTTTAAAAAAAAAAAAAATTTAGCTGCATGGCTTTATTGATTATACTACAGTGGAACCTCTCTATAGTAAATATTAATACTCTAGTGAAGGCATAAATATTTGTTTTTATGCTTTTTTTTTGTCAAGCATTGACACAGCGAAATAAAAGAGGTCAACATGATGGATGGATGGATGTTACTGGCTATACCCTTTGTAGCGGGCGGTAGCTTGCTCCACCTAGCCTAAGTCTAATAAAGACTGATGACCACTGATGTCTATGACAATTTGCTGGATCGTGCATCTCCGCTTGGTCACTACTGCGCAAGTGCGGCCACCGGATGGCCATCTTGGGTCTCGGAAAATCAACCTTTTGGAGCGTTGCGGAGCCTGGACGGTAGTGTGCTGAAAACACGTTTCCTGCTCATTTGTCGTCATTCCCCGAAGAAATTTGCCTTTGAGAACACGTGGAAATCTCTACGAAAGCGCAGCACTGCAGGAAAGGGTTCAACTCGTCCAACGCAAGTCTCACCGGTCTCGCGGCATTATCAAAGCCTCCTTGGCACACCAAAGTGCTGCGTCTCTACCTTCACACGCTTGGATACCGATCAAGAATCGGTGCTGTGTGGATTTATTTCGCGAGTGCGACGTGCATGAAGATGTATGTGCCTCTGCAGCAGCGTTTTACTTTACTCTTACGACTGTATTTGTAACTTGCGGCTTGGCGGTCCAGAAACGAGCTTGATCCAGTGACGATAGAAGACAAATAAGGGACGCGGCGACAGATTGCACACTACCATATGGGCTGTGTTGAAGAAAATTTCAGTCTTGCCATTTCATACTTTTGCGTTCGAACCTACCTTCCTCCACAGCATAGCTCTATTTGTGCTGTCATGTGATCCATTCGAGTAGATTTGGAACATAGCCATGGTTAGTTGTGCATAATAGCAACCATTGATTTTTTTTCCTTTATTGATAGCAGCTCGCCAGAACAATTAGGCGATCCTGAATGCTGGATCAGCTCGGCGATCCAGAAGACATCTACGCGCGACGCACCTTCAAAACTTTGCCGCGGCATCGATTCTTGATAAGTGTCCAAGTGTGCGAAAGCACACGCAACACTTCGGCGTGCCAAGGAAGCTTTGATCACGCCGCGAAACTGGCGAGACTTGCTTCGACGAATTGTGCCTTTTTTCTGCTGTGCTGCACAATTCTCACCGTTCAGCATGCTGGCACCCAGCCTCTGTAGCGTTCCAAATGGTTGATTTTCCACGTCCCAAGATGGTCATCTGATGGTTGCATTTCTGGAGTGTGGGATTGCTGGATTGTGCAATCCAGCAATTGTCATAGAGATTAGTGGTCCCCACTGCTTCTGCGATTCTGGCCATGTAAGTTTGACCTTGTGACAGGCTAAAAGTCCCATTGAGAGCTACTGAATGGTCCCAGAGTGTTGAAGCTACAATCACTCATTTTAGAACACCGTAGCTTTGCCTTGAATCGGCAACTTGTATATCAGACAACCAGAAGTCTCGATTAACTCGATCCTTTCGGTGGTCAACCTTCAACTATGAAACACCATACTGTGGGAATATTTAGTGGCTCTAATCGGAGGGCCATCATCGACTTGTGGGAAGGCTGACATCCAGTCTGCTTGCCCGATATATTTTTTCTCCTTCTGAATAGGGATAGCATAACTTGAAGAGTTAACTTCTCACAGAAAGACTGATGAGAGTTTGATTTGTCCATATCGCAGTGCTGCCGAAGTTTGGAGTAGAGGTGGTGCCTCCACCTTACGTCTTCCCTGAGGAGACCAACACCACCTGGAAGATATGTGCTCAGTAAGTATTTCAGACCCTCCTTACAAAAATGTGCATATCCTTTCATAGTTTCTGTCCTTCTCGTGCCTTACAAGATGATTTTTTCATAGCTTCTGTCCTTGGGTAAAAGTGCATTTTTTCATAGCCTCTGTCTTCCTCTAGTAGTGTTGTTGTGATTACTCTAGCATGTCAGCATGTATACACTTGCTGGCACAAACATTTTATACCTCATACGCTTCTTTTTTTTTATATATATTTTTAGATGTAGAGGTTGACATAGACTGGTTATGTCTATCATTATAAAAATAGGTTTGTTTTTACGGTTTAAGAAAGCCTAAGAAAGCCTTTTCAATGGTTAAGACAGGCTCTAGCTGTTGCAGATGGCAAAATTCTACATGTCATGACCAGTGACAAACTCGGGTATTTCCAGAGGAGGAGTTAGCTTATCATAGGTTTGAGACTGCTCTCCCCGTTTTCCCGCCATAAATTTTTGCACATGCAAAATTCAGGAAGGTGGTAAGGACATCCACTCCCTCCCTCTGAATCTGCCACTGGTCATGACACTCTATAGTGTCAGCAACTGCGATTGTATCTCTTATTTGGGAACCACTGGTAGTATTGTAATTCCTAGGCTGTTGTGGCATTTTTGCTCCATGACACTTATTTTGATATGTTACTACTGTCGAGACCGGTTATAACAAAGTCGGTTATACAGTCTAAGCTCCTTATGACAGACCTGGTTACAACAGACGTTCGGATATAACATACTGATTTGTCAAGTTTGGTTGGTTTTCCTCTATGTACTATTGACTCAACTTCATATCTGCATACAACATACTGCTTTTACAACAGACCGAAATCTTGGTCAAAATCAAGGTCTGTTATAACGAGCTTAGACTGTGATGAAATAGTGGCTAAAGCAAAGCGATCACTATTTCCCGTTTGTGTCTTTTTTAATGAAGGAAATTGAGCAGCTCCCACGGATATAGTGAAAAAGGTTTAGTGATAATTTAGAAAATAAAATTTTGAAAATTTACATGGTCTCAGATTGCCGCACTTTGCTGCCGCAGCCGAGCAGTCACCCAGAACGGGCCACCGGTGATGCTGCAAAAATCGCCGGTGGCAGTCTCTGCATCATCGTCTGCTCCCGGCTCCTTATCTGGGAAATGGCTTTTCCGCATCGCTTGCGGAGAAGCTGTCGTATCAGGCCTATAGTGCTGATAGGGGCGTTCGGAGCACTAGCAACAACGTACCGGCGGAGATGACAGAGCCTAGATTTAAGAGAGGGAGCAACCCCAATCATTGAGAGCATTTGCAATTTAATGGCAGACACCTTCTGTGCAGGTGGGCGCAAGTACGCCTGCAGTTGGTTGTCACCTGGCCAGTGTGGCGAGGGAACTGGGTGGAGATGCGAACACATTTGCAGAAGTGAACACTTTTGAGTTTTGACTCCTTGCATGCTGCAGCTCGTTTTGCAGATGCGACCCACAAACCTCATGAGTGCAATCGAGCACTTGCCCCCCCATCTTTCCGATCTGGGGAAGACGAGCTTGGGGGAAAACTCTGTGCCGTGCGCGCTTCTTTGTTTGCTTCATGTTCTGGGTCGGCGTTGCTGGTTGGTGCGGTCGTGCTTGCGCAAGAGTCTAACTTCGCTCAAGCACCAATTTGGCAAATCATCGCCACTCAACGATGGAGGGTCCTGGCACCTCCGACACCTCGACGGGGAAGACAGAGGCAATCTCCTTGAGACAAAACTGTGCCCTCCTCGACGAAGTGCGCATAAACAAAAGAATACCGTCTATTGACTGCGTCCTCCGCACGGCCGTTGCAGCTGTCGACACGGTCCGGAGCTTCTAGCGTTTGGCAAGAAGTGGCTCTGATCTAGCAGAGAAATCGATCGTTCAGGGAAGCCTCAACCGCTTTGTGCAGGCACGATAAATAGGTATGCGTCAGTGACAGACCGTGTTACCATTCTTTTTTGCATGTTACTTTTATGCGTCTAGATATAACGAAGAAGCGGATTTAGCGAAGTGATTTTCGATTCCCATTAACTTTGTTGTAGCCGGTCTCGACGGTATTGTACTTTTTCATATTTCTGTGCGAAATTGTAAATAAATAAATGAAGAAAATGTTTTAGAAATGAACTTAGAATTACGAATGGAGATGCTGATGCCATTTCATTTATGGAAACATACCTTTCTTATGAATATTCTTTGTGATTATGTGGTTACTTTGCATTAAAACAAGTTTGAAACATGTATTGCAAATTTATAATAAAAGAAGCTATCAAATAAGTTAAAAAAAGCTTGTTTTCAAACCACATTAGGATTGGCACAAATATACCTATGAAAATTGTTCAATTGAAGGTTTGTTAGTTTAATTTTAAAAGATGCATAAATGCCTATCTGAGAATATGCATGGTTTTCTAGCAAGTCAGAATTCATACGTGTCTACCGACGGCTTGACTAACAGGTGCTTTACGCAGGTATGTCTATGGCAAGCCAGTGAAAGGACAGCTCCGGGCCCAGCTCACCTATGGGCGGTTTCACTGGGCATCTGAGGCCACAAAAGTACTGCCCAGCATTGACCTTGATCTTCCGGTAAGTGCAAGGCAGTTGTTTTCCCCACCTCCTGTTGAATGCTCATGCAGTGATGCAGCACAATTGAGTGGAGTGCTCGGTTTGTGTCAACGTATGCTAAACTTTTATCTCTGCTTATTTATTTTTGTACCTGATCTCTTTTTTTAATGATTTATTCCACATACCGTAAATACTCATGTATAATCCGCCCTCGTGTAAAAGCCGCACAGCCCCACTTTGGGATGCAAAAATTTGAAAAAGAACTACAAAGGTGCCTAAAACTTAAGTTTCGCCCGTCACCGAGGGCCTAGTCCTGCAAAGCGCTACAAGATGGCGCTAGCTAGTTTTTGCCATTCGCCGCACATTATCATCATCATTGTTGCACGACACGACACTTCGGCTGCTTCTGTGTTCTGTTTTTTAAGGCGGCTTGCCAGCGTCATTTTGTCTTTGTTATTGTGGTGCGTGGTTTGGAAGCACGTGCACTGCTTGCGGAGTTTGTTGTGTCGCGTGCACTGTGTCGTGTAGAAGGTTGCGCGCTTTCGGCCGCAAAAAAGGGGAAGCAATAAGCAAGCACAGACGGTCCTACACCGCGGGCTTCAAACCTCAGCTCGCACTGCAGAACACAGGGACTCTGGGTTCAATCCCCACCCCTGCTCGTTTCGATCTGGGTGATCATCGTACCGGCGTGCGATCGTGCATCACTACTGTGAGGTGCACATTAAAGACCCCAGGCTAGCTGTTGTACTGCACTGGCTAAATTGCTCATCTACAGTGAGTGACTCGTCGCAACTTTGAAATGGCTGACCAACTACACGCTGTATAAATATCCACACAACGCCAGTAGGTACTACTACAAACTTCAAGTTGTAAAATATGCTGAAAAATACACAAGAAAATACAATTTCTTTTTTTTTTTTTGGCCTTGTTTGTGTATATTTTGCGCCTGAGCAAAATTTAAAAAAAAAGTGTGGCTTATACACGAGTATATACGTAATTAGCAACAGCAACACACATTATTGTAGGGATTAACTTGTACTTCATATTATACTTGGATTACAACACGGTCAGTGTCAACTTGTCGACCAACAGTCACTGAACACATGAGGTTGAATGGTGATTGGCACGTGGAATGTGCCCCTTTTTCTAATTTAAAATTTCCAAAAATTGCTTGAATATTTTTTAGAAGCTATTGGTAAATTATGAAATTTTAGCATCTTGTCCGAACCACTAGCACTACATTTGGGTGAAGAATGAGCCTTTGACAGTGCATATAGTTTACTTTTATAGTGAGAAACATGAATCTCTTTTTTTTTAAACAGCCGGTATATAAAAATAATACTGCAATATAAATCGACAACTAGTTTTTGTACATTTTGTCAAAGATATATGATTGAAATCTTGAAGGCATTTAATAATATAACGTCGGACAGTTTGTTCACTGGCATTCTGAAAGCTAATTGAAGCTTTATAGCTCTATGGTGAATAAAATGGGCACTGTGTATCAAGATAGAAATCTAACCTAAATCGTCAGTCGCATTATTATGTTCTATTTATGAATTTCTAGGCTTTGTAAATGCAAGTAGTGACCCTTCGCCTTTGCGGCCCATTGGAGCTGTGAAAACTCTGGCAAACTTCAATAATTACTGCAATGCAGATTTTATTTTCTGGATAAAAGTTTTGTTTTGAAACACATGCTAAAACTGAGACACAACTTATGCACCCAATGTATGCTTTTTCCGTTTGACACAATTGCGTTGAGGCAAAGTGACACTCGCAAAAACATCTCCGCAAGAATTGCTTCGCCTCAGTGCATCCGCGTCATGGTGGAAGCAGATGCTAAAGGTCAACCGTTAAAAAAGTTCTACATATTGGATTCAAAGTTGGGCCCGGTTCGCAGGAACCTAAAGTTGCTAGGTTTGAAATATTTGTGCAACTGTCACGATAAAATATAGCCATAAAACTTGCTTTTTTTTTTTTCACACTGTGCCCAGATAAAAGGTTGTCACGAGTTCACGCTGAATGGTCGGGATTTACTTTTGGCTAATGAGGACCTGAACAGGCGTCCGCTGATCCTGACGGCTGAAGTCACCGAAGAAGCCACCGGTGAGTGTGCAGTGTAAAACGCCCAGCCCTTCAGCAGACCATTTACAAACGCAAGAAGGATTTAAAGACACCAAACTTCTGCATGAACTGTGTTTGAGCCAAGTGCCACCGTAAAAATTGCTTCATTCATTTATTTACTTTATACACACGTGATAGCATACTCAAATAATTAACAGCTTTTTAGCCATAATATCTGTGCATAACAAAGAAAATGACTGAAGACTCACACAGATCACGACACTGTTAGCACAAACAAGCGATCGTCGGTTTTTACTGTTTTTTTTTTTGAGTTTGAAGGCTTATCAATACTACTTCTACTGCAGGTTGATTCGGGGCACGATGGCAAGCACTGAAAATAAGCGCGCATTAATTAGGGCGACCACCCGCCCCGCGACTCGCAGGGCTGTCCTGCATTGAGGGCTCGTGTTCCCGCGTCCCGCAAGAAATTCCCACATCTGCAAAATGTCCCGCATTTCATACTGTTGTAAAATTCACTCTGCAACTCATGGTGCTGCCGAACAACGGGGCATGGGGAAGCGCGGAGGTTGCGGGTAATCGTGTGAATCGCAATGGTACGCCATTTTCTATCCAAGCATTGCGGGAAGCGACCGTCGTTCTTGCAGGAGGCCAACACGCATGCTCAGTTGTGCCCCTTGGTGGCAAAATATTGTAAGAAAAATTGCTTGCCAAAAGTTTAAATATAAAATATTGTAATTATTTTTCAAATCAATGCAAAAGGGTTGCTGTGCATATATTTTTTTATTGAAGACAGCCCACACAAGGCAAAAAGCCTGCAACTCTCAATGGTCAAAAAAGAACATAATGTTAAAAATTAGTGTTGGGCCATGTCGGCAAAAGTAAGCATTGACAGGAAACAATAACCTGAAAAAGATTTACTGTTTCTTATTTCCATTTGATGCATTGAGTTCTTCTACAGTCGCCTTTTTATGTTTTCAGCTTTGACACATTTAAGAACACATTCGGCATAAAAAGAAATATATCACTGGGAGTGAAAATTATTTGAGCTTAATTTGCTGCAATAGAATTATCAGGTGTATAGACAACACAGGATATTAAATGTGTTAACAGAGCCTCGGTTCGTGGTGTGCATGTTAATAAATTTCCTGTAACCGCCCCCTGCACTGCCCTGCATGTCCCGCATTTCGCTAGCAGGAAGGCGGTCACCCTATTGTCAAAGCCTGTCTGAGGAAAAACATGAAAAAGAGCTGATGCTATGTCTTTACCAACACACGCAGCTTACGCGAGGAAACTAAGGCTTACGAGTTTCGATTGGCTGAAAAATGTCATGGGTGATTGATGTGTTCTTTGGAGTCCGTAATCAAGTGCTGGCTTCTAATGTAAATATTAAGGTGTCGTGTTTAACATTCTCGTAAGGGTCATTTGATAGGGTGACAAAGTTTGTTGATGCAGGTGTGACACAGCATGCGAACGTCACAGTGAGGCTGTCGTGGTCACGGCTCACTCTGGAATTTCTGAAAGACGGTGCAGTGGCCGACTTCAAGCCAGGACTGCCCCACAGAGGAGCGGTGAGCTGACTACACCACCGCGTACATGTGCACTTTGCGCATATGTATCATATATTACCATATTTTCTCAGTATATGAGTGGTGACAGATATTTTCAAAAGAAGTTACGTTGCTATGAGGCCACCTCAAAGATCTTTGTTTTATTTTTTATATATTTGTTGGCTATTATTGGTGCCAACGGAACAGCAAAAACTGGCGCTACTCTTCCTGTGCAGCCACGGAAGTTTTTAGTGGGCTATAGATTTTCTTATGTTTATTTATAAGAAATATCGGTATATCCTTCTTGGTACTTACTTGTTTTTCAAATATTTTGGTGGTTTATTTCCGACGGACGCTCAAAACAGTTATTATTGGTGAAAAAGATCCCGTAAAAAACCAAGAGTGGCCAAGTGCTTGCCATCCAAAGACTTTCTAGCCAACCAATTTATTCGAAAACACGCCTGTGTTGCAGCTGATGGTAACTCAACCTGACGGCACACCAGCGCCCGGCGAGAGCGTGAACATCTGCTTTCTGGCGGTAAACGTGACGATGCGAGAAGTGTCCAAGGGCTGCAGGGACTTCAAGAGCGGTCCGGACGGACTCGTTCGGTTTTCAGTGCCTGGACTACGCAGCTCTCCGTCTTCCTTGAGGGTCACGGTGAGTGACACTCGCAACTCTCCTTCTTCTTTAGTCTGCGAGTTGCGTGAGTTGCTCGTGAAATTCCGTTCCAGGCTTCAGTTTCTGCATGGTTATTCAAGACTGCTGGTTTGTCGACGAATCTGCGAGGGACGTTCAGCAGAGATTGTGATGACGTGGCTGAAATGACCGTGTCACTCTTTTAGGCGTCATTGTGGGCAGTGCTTGCAGCGTTCTTTTTGTGCCAAAATTTTCAATGGGGTGAAAAAATTTGTAAACCGATCGATTAATATATAAAAAAAACATTATCTTTTCACAAATTGCTTAAATTGGTCTGACCTCTAATAGTAATTGCTTTCAATACTGCAGTCGAAATGTGACCCACGAAAGCAATAATTAATGAGCTAGTCAACAGATTTGAGTCTACTGGTGTTCCGATTGTGACAATAATCTTCCACCTAATATCTGCCGACTCCACAGACACACTATGAAGGTGGCATCCACGTAACTGTCTCCTTTTAATGCGAAAGCATTAGTCCCATGGAGCAAGCCGACGTCATCAGCCGTGCAAAACGGCTGATAAATTCGTGAAGCCGCAATCTGAGGCATCCCAGCTTTGAAGCCGTGCAAAAAGCCACTCAAAATGGCAAGTAAATGAAGCCGAAGGAGGCCGCTGCGCGTCAGTTTCAATCGGCGCCACTCTATGGCGCTGCGTGCCCGCATATCAGCTGGTGTGCTCGGGCGGTGGTTATTCAACAAGGCGCGGCAACTTCACGAGGACGTGCGCAAAAATGACATTGATGCTTTCGCATTTACAACTCATAAGAAGTGCTTAGGTGTACCTCGAGCTTTTTTTTCTCTTTTTCTATTAAAAAATATTACCCTATGTGTTGAATTGGGGTCCTCCAACTGTACATGAAAAATGAAAGAAATGATAATCGCTTTCTTGTACAAGCTGTGTTGGCCCTGTACAATGTGTTTTTTCTCCATTTTGAGCATAATTATGATCTTTAGTTTTCTATTTCAAATGTATTTGCAGGCCAAAGCAGAAGGAGGCAGCTTGAATCCTCCGACCACCACGGTACTTCTGCAGCCATGGAGGTCACTGTCGCAGCGCTACTTGCGAGTCTTGGCGCCGGGTCAGAAACTAAAGTGTGGCGTGTCAACACCAGTTCGCTTTCACTACACCAAGCTCAAGAACCACTCTAGTGTGGCCTTCAACTATCAGGTGGGTGCGCACTCGGAAGGCAGAAGAAACCGTGTTAACGCTTTGTGACCCCCCACAGTTTCCTGCATCCCTTCTAAAGTGTTTTGTCACTTGCCTGGGTCTTTGCATTTGATACACTATTTGTTGTTTCGAGAGTACTGCTTTTCATGCACTTGAGCCAGCTGAGTGGATGCAGTTGGTAGGTCTTTATTGCCCCTGTAGTTATAAACTATGATAGTAGTTTGTCGTATTTGCAAGCTGTAGGAAGACTTTAATTAAAGGTTAGTTCATAGCAGTGTGAGGACGTATTTTAAGTGGTACATTGTACTTAAAGTACTATATCAAGTAAGTTTAGAAAACTTTTACTTTACTTGAAGTACATTCTCTGAGTGTGTGCTCATACTTCTTTGGGTACTTCGTGAGGAGAGTACAACTCCCGACTTCAAAGCACATTCTCCAAATTTCATCTCGGTGAAATTTAGCTCTTTCAAGAATCACAAGCTCACGTCCTTGGCTTTTCCAGTACTATACACAACTTTTGAGTCTGAGCATAAGAATTCACCAACCTGTAACAAGAAAAATGGCGTGTCGTATGTGAAAACGCGCTATCGTTTCTTGAAGCATCATTTGGTCAGGTCTCCGAGTGAAGTAATGGCGGCTATAAGACCTAAACAAATACCGTGCCTTGTAAGCAGATTGTGTAAATAGTTTGTCAGCGATGGTCAAACAACTACTTTGTGGCCACTTGACTTTATCCAATACAGTATTTGCCGCCATTTCTGAAAACAACTGATGCACCCCTGATTATTCTTGGGGCAATGGATACCAATTTAAGAAAAAACACTGTATAAAGGAATAAAAGGGCATCATTAAATATTGTGTTAAAAATATTTGTACTTTGCTTCAAAATTATATTGCATTTATACCTAGACAACAGAAAGACGTTCTTGGGATATCCTCAGAATGTCCAAGTAAGGATGTTTGGACATCCTGAGGTAGTCCTCGACTCATCCTTAAGCAGTCCAACTAAGATCCACTTCTCCGGCCAGCGTACATCCTTGAAATGTTCTCTGGATGATGCCGCAGGACTTTTCTCATACATTCTCAGGACATATCCCAACAATTCTTTGAGTATAATTCAAAGCTAATGTATAAGCATGTAACAAGGAATAGCGATAGGATTCATTTAAATGTGGTTCTTGACTGCTCTAAAAGCATGATGTATTTGTAGCACTACAAATATAGCAGTTTGGGCTTTGAGTAGGGGTGTGCAAATACTCGAATATACGAATTCAAATTGAATAGCGAGTTCCCGAATAATTCGATTCGCAAATCGAATTCCTAGTATTCGGTCACTCGAATATTCAGTATATTCGGCCAAAGACACGAGGTTGGCGCGGAGCTGACAAAAGAGCCGTTTTTTTTCCCGATGTTAGACAGATCATTACTCCACAAAAGTCTAACGCGCAGGTTAGAAAAAAGAAAAGTAACTAACGCCACAAACTTTATAGCACGTGGATTTAATCACAATTGTGACATAATCTAACCTCTAATCACAACCGAAACATCCCGTTTGTACCAGTTCCAGAGAGGAATTGTTGGGAGGCCGGAATTCCACGCCGTGCCTAATTCTTTTCACGAGTAAAGCACCCCGTTTCAAATTGAAGCGTCGATGTAGAACACACTTGCCACACTCACAGAAATCAGTGACTGCAAGATCACAAAAAGAAAACCACGTTAACCACGCCGATGAAACCAGCCGAGTTGTCGTCGTCGTTTTGGAACCGCAAGCCACAAGTTCTGATTTGGAACGATACGGAACAAAAGAATAGTGTGCTTAGATTTGAGAGCGTTTCCAACCGTTCGATAGCCGCCTTTGAAATACGAACTGCGAGAAGGTGACGAAAAGACGAAAGCGAAAAAGTCGTCGCTCTTCCGCTTGCTCGCCTTCTTTCCACGCGACAACACAACACGCGCACACTTACGACCAATCTGCGCAGGAGCAGTCTCCGTTGTTTCAGCTCGCTCTTTTAAATCTAGGCTCTCTAAAACAGGAGTGATGGACGAAAGAATGGATGCATAGCGGCTATTGGAGGGTGACTTGCGCCACCTAACAACACATTTTTTTTTTTACTCCAGAATATGTTGTTTAAGCCTGTTTACTCAGATTTAACACCTATCTGTTTATTAATATAAGATAAAATCCCGGGATGCCCGTTTTCGCCCTTAAAATTGAGATCCAACATCGCAAAATGTCAGTTTTCTGAGATACACAGATATAAAAAAGGATATGTCGCGGTGTTAGGCCGTGCTTTTAACGAGAAAAAAAAAATTTTAAAAAGGCATGCATGGCTGTAACTTTGGATTTTTTGTGACACTTAGGGTAGATAGATTAAGTTTGCGCCATAAAATTGGATCTTTAGTGCCCCACGTCCGTCACCAGCTGCTTTTCTTTTTTTTTCTTTTGCACCAGAATTTTTATACATTTTAGCTTTTGTTCCATACGGGATGCACATTTTGCCCCAGGCACATACTCTGCACATATAATAATCTCATTCACAGCACACTTTGAAAAATTCCTACAAATAAAATCACTATTCAATATTCAATTCAATAGCTTTGAGTGCAGGTAAGAACCACATTTAAATTAATCATATCACTAATTCTCGTTACATGCTCATACAATTGATGCTTTATGCAGCACTTGACGTTTATCAAGTGCTTCCATAAAGCATCAATTGTTCAACATGTCTATCAAGTGCTTCCATAAAGCATCAATTGTTCAACATGTTACTTTGTAGAGATTTCTTGTTCAGTGATGTAAAAAAACTACTTTGTATTCAGAGTAATCACTGAATACCATGTGTCATCAGCTTTAAACATGAGCAAGAAAAACTAAAGACGTTTGAAATATAAAATTTATTTTCTGCAGATACATTTCTTGAAATATATAAGACTGCCCTGAGAAAGTAAACGAAAGAAACCAGAAAATGTAAAGATAAACTAAATGTAGGAGGGACCTTAGGTGCTCATCTTGAACTTGTATGAACTAGAAAACAACAACAAGAGCATACGCACGGTGGTGGATATCTATCATGTACAGTCTCGAAACAAAAGGAACGCAAATGATGGAACAACAGGCTCCCGCTCTCGTTGCGCCGCTCAACAGGCTTCGGTGGAAGCTCTCGCGCAGCCTGTGGTGTGCTTTGATCGGTGACGGTGCCGTGTGGCCGGCCTTTTAGGTTAGATGAGACTCATGCCAGTTTGCTTCGGTATTCCACCACATTCGGTGCCAATCGCCAAATTAGCAATATGGCATCTGCATTTTGAACTCCCCATCATCACTTGTGATAATAAAAGATGAGCCCTAGTTTAATATAATAGTGACAAGAAGATTTACACAGTAGTTTGGGACTGATAAAAGATTACTTTCTTGTGGGTCATACAGGGGCATTTGAAATGCATGTGCCATAATGTCAACTCGGAAAAGGTGCTGCGATTAGCGTCGCATGTGCATAGAAGACTGTAATGACTCAAGCAATTCAGTGCCAATTTCATTTACCGAAGGGGTGGGACACTTAGTACCGTCTCTACTCTCGAAGTGCACCCCAAGCGGTGCGAGAGCTTCCGCCGACGATCATCGAGGGACGCGACAAGAGCGAAAGGCCATCGCTCCGTCTTTAACGTTTCTTTTGCTTGAGACTATGCAATGGGTATCTTCACAACTGGACTTTTGAAGTTGGCATTACCCACGAACGTGTCATGACTCCCTTTTTTGGTGTCATCAGAAGAGGGTCCTGGAAAGATAATGGACAATTATAAATGCGAAGCTGCAGCGTTATAAAAGAAAAAACTTCTCTTTTGAAAAGAACTCTGGATTACAAAAAAGTGCTGTGGTGGAGAACTATACTTGGTTTCACCTTAGGTTCAAGCGCGGCGAATGCTATGAGCCGAAGGGCAAATCAAGCAGCGAAAGAGGCACAACGTCATGGCTTGCTCTCTGCGGTTGATAATACCAGCCGGTGTTCGCCGTCTTTTTGCACGTGAAACTCTGCCGGCTCGTCCTATCAAGCGCAGAGAGCACGCCGTAATGTTGCGCTTTCTTATCGTCCCTTCAGCTCATTACATCGGCCGCACTCGGACCTAAGTTGAAACGAAGTATAGCTAACAAAAGCAAGCATATCCAAGTGCCCGCATTTGCAATTGCCTGCAAAAAGACAACTCGTTATCGTCGGAATCGGAAAGCTCTTCGACGGGTGCAACGTCAAGGCCAGATGTGATTTCGTGATGCCTAGGTGCGATCACGTGATGGTTACAGGAATTAGTGCCGTTCCCGCTGCTCTGAACACAAGACTCGTGATGGCGTGTAAGTAGCAGCCATGAGCTGGTTCTGTTGAGCACTATTGCAGGCTCTAGGCATTAAGTTACACAGACTGGCATTGGTCGTTACGCGCAGTGAAACAAAGATAATCTTTGGATAAATTCTAAACCTTATTCATTAGTTTACATGCGCCGATTGATCGTGCGGCAAAATTGTCGCTTCGACATCACAGCTTGGATGGGGCTTTACATGAATGGTAATAATTATGAGAAGAAAACGGAGGCGTTTACCCCTTTTAGAATCATCTGCCATTTGAGAAGCCATCCACATCGCTCAAAGAAAGAGAAGGAACGGAATGCATGGGCGCCAGATGACTTCAATACCATGTGAACGAAATATATTTGAAGAAGAAAAATGGCGAAGCAACCAAAGCAATGCTGCAGTAACCGCAGGGAGAAATGACCGGGCTTGGCCCTTGACCTTGGCTTGACGAAAGGCTTGACGAGTGGATGGGGGATAATGGCTCTACCCTAGGTAATGGGCCGTAGCTTGCGCCACCTAGCCTAGCCTACAGTTCACACATCCTGATGTAGGAAAACTCTCGCTTTATTAGTAAAAAAATACAAAACAGCATTATAATTTTGATTATGTTTATGTTTTCCGCACGCTCCCACTTAAGCGCGTATGTGTTTACATCTTTCTCGAGAGCACGATCCAGAAGAAAGCCTATGATCCCTGATAAATCTTATGATGGACTGTACGTTGTCCTATGAACGTCTTTAGTACGCCCCATGTGAATCTTGGACGTTTAGACCATTTGAAGACATCCTAAGGGTGTTTTGTGTTGTCTGGGTAGTATTTTACTTCAAGTGTACTGCACCCAGTGTATTTGCTAGGACTTGAAGTACATAACCTCTAATTTAATTTCAACTTTACTTCACATACTTTTTAGATGTACTTTACTCAACATTGGTTTATATGTAGTAACTATAGTGTCCTACAGGATTCTTTCCATAGCTGCTTTATGACCATAGCTGTTTTTCTGGCATAAGGATGTATGGAAGTTAGTCACTGGCCTTGCCATATTTGCTCATAGGTAGGTCAAGCTTTTCATATAAAAAGCCCATGTACCAATTGTATCGTACAGCATGTGGAGGTGAAATCGTCAGTGCCCTAGGACCTTGTCAAATGATCAGTCAGGTATAAAGTTTTATTTGTGCTATGATTCTTACCAGTAAGATGTTGTTCACCATGTTGCACCTTGGGTTCAAAGTGTATTTCACTGCCTTGTCCTGTGAGAGCCTTCTTTGTAAAAATGTCAAGGTATACTTAGATCATATTTATTAATGTCAAAGCTTTAACTCGTCAATGTAAATAGAAGCCTTACGAATTTAAGAAAGGTAAAAGGGGGGCAAACCATCCACCATCTAGCAAAAACAAAATCACCAGGCTTAGATATTTTATTAAATGAAATAACAATGTGATAACACTTGAACGGGTTTTTAACGAGCATTACTTTCTATCAAAGTTTAGTGAGATATCTTGCCATTACATTTAGCGAGGAAATTGTGACATTGCGTCACGGGACACTGACAATTTCCCCACTAAATTTGGCGGGGAAATTGAGGTCACATCACCTGACGGCGTTTGGGGTGAGGTCATGTGACGTCAGTTAATGTGGCGCCATGGTATAATGTGGTGGCACGACTTGAAACTGTAACATATATTTTTCCGTTAAATTTTGTGAGTAAATTGATGTCACTTTATATTATGACATCATGTGGTCAAACCCACACTAGCAAGAAAGGCCTGTGGGTGTTCCCACATAAAACTGTCGCGTTAGAAAAAAAAAAAAAAAAAAAGAAGCTGGGCACGTTAGCTGATTTGCGAGCCTTTAAACGGCATTCCAGGTGTTTTCCGGACGCCGCGTCGTCGAGCAGGGCAGGTTTGAGCCCAGGGTTTCTCAAGACGACACGGACGACAGGATTCCAGTTGAGTCCGGACTCCAGTCCGGGGGCTTCATCACGGCCGAGCTGAGCCTGGAGCCGAAACCCGAGTGGGGCCTGTCTTCGAAGGCGCGCCTCCTGCTGTATTACGCCCACCCCAAGGGAGAGCTGATTGGGGACAGTCGCCGGCTGCAGGTTGAACCCTGCACTTCAAACCCCGTGAGTTTTTTGTGCCCTTGCGGGGATGTTGGGTAGCACCTCGATCGAACAGGATTGCATATCTGACCGCATTGAAGGCCCATTCACTTGATTGGATTTGCTTATGATTGAGCTCTTGTGATCTCTTACAACGAGAGGACAAGCTGGCATCATTAATGAGGTGACCCCGGAGCCGCATTTCACTAGAGCGAAGGTTTGGCGCTATTCGTGAGACCAAATCTCTGAATCTACAATACAGTACAATCTATGAAAAATAGTTGTTTATAACATTATAAAAAAAAATTGCGAGCCATGAAAAAAAATGATGCATGAAGAAAACAGAAAATATACGAAAACTGGAAGTTTTTCATGCTTACCCAACAGATGCTGCCAGTATGCTCTCTCATCATGAGAAATCCCAAGAGGTTTGGTCGTAAGCAGTCGCAAGTGTGGGAACTAGCCTTAAAAAACACATGCAAAAAAAAAAAAATTTTTTTTAAACAGCCAAGATGAAAAAAGGATGTCATTAAACAATTTTACAATGAAGAAAAAAAAATTTTAGAGCTATATTTACGGCGCTATACGAATTTGTAGTTGGCGCCCGCGGGCGCCGCGGGAAAGTGGCCCTTATTTATCGCTTGACTGGCCCTTATTTATCACGTGGCCCTTGCACTCTTTCGGAAGCTTCCTATGGCGTCTAAAAGTAACTTATTCATCTTTGTTTGAAGTATAACAAAAAACTAAGGTTAATAAGTAACTTTTAGAGCCTAAAGGAAACTCCTGAAAAAGCGCAAGCAGATGTGATAGACCTGTGCGCCGGTCAGATGACGGCAGTGGCGCCCCGAAGCAGACGAACTTGTGCGGCGGCGGCGACGGCGGTGTCGCACAACGCTCAGCTTGCGGTGGTGGCGTGACTTTGCGGCGGCGACGCATCATGGCGGTGCGCGGGCCTACCACGTGACCAGCGGCGGCTCCCGTGGGCGCCAACTACAAATTTATTTTGCGTCGTAAATATATCTCTAAATATTTTTTTTCTTCATTGTAAATTTGTTTTATAATATGCTTTTTCCATCTAGCCTGTTTAAAAAGAAAGTTTTTTTTAAACAGCCTAGATGGAAAAAGAATGTTATAAAACGAATTTTCAACGAAGAATAAAAATTTCACAGCTATATTTACGGCGCAAAACAAACTTGTAGTTGGTGCCCGCGGGAGCCATTGCGGGTCACGTAATAGACCTGTGCGCCGTCGAGCGGCGCCGCTGCTGCCCAGCAAGTTCGTCTGCTCCGCAGCACCGCCGCCGTCATCTGACCAGTGCACAGGTCTATCAGATCTGCTTGCGCTTTTTCAGGAGTTTCCTTTGTGCTCTAAAAGTTACTTATTAATCTTTAAAAACAAAGATGAATAAGTAACTTTTAGAGACCATAGGAAGCTTTTGAAAGAGCGAAAGCACCACGTGACAAATAGCGGCCAGTCACGTAATAAATAGCAGCCACTTATCTGCGGCACCCGCGGGCGCCAGCTACAAATTCATGTAGCGCCATAAATATAGCTCCAAAAATGTTTATTTTTCGTTTTGATCTCGCTTTGACTTCCTTTTCCCAACTAGGCTGTTTAAAAAAAAAATTATTTTTCCTTTCCTTTTCCTTAAAAGAAAAAAAGGGGGGGGGGGAATTTGACAATTGCTTGTTGGTGTTAACGGTGTCACACCCTGTACAGGTATCGATGCATTTTGCAAAGGACAGTGCCTACCCTGGGACCACAGTGGAGTTATCGCTGTCTGCAGCATCGGGCTCTCTCTGCGGAGTTTGGGCTCTCGACCGCGGTCTGTTGCACAAGGACTCCTCTGCGCAGCTCACCGCTGACAAGGTGTGGAATCCATGCTTGGATCAGCGAGTGTGTGGCACGCGAAGCTTTCGCGAAACCTTTTTTTTTTTGCAATACATAGGTGGGATTTCATATTTTCGGGGTTTGTTTTTTTTCCTCGAGTTTGGGGGTGTTTTTCTCTTGGTTTAATTTTGCCCGTGGATTTTGTGTTTTTAGGTGTCTATTTTTGGTGTCAGACAAAAAGTCGGCGTTTATCGGGGCCTATGTTAGCGGAAGAAAACATGGCTTGGCCATGTTCTAGATGAGCACAAAATCTTGAAGAGGGGAAATACCTGTCCGTGGAGCTCCCATATTCCAAGAAACTGGTGGCTTGGGGGACATTTTTCTGAGTTTATTGATATTTACTAGGATTATGTGGGTATTCTAATTTTCGAATAGTAGTTAAGAACAGTATGCTGTTCAATATTCGGTTCGAGAACAACAGCAATATTCATTATTTTCGAAATGTTGATTGCAGCGGGTTAGCCCCGTTAAGCACTCTTCTTACCGATCACCGGTGCACTGCAGAGAAGGAGCATCCACGAAGTTCGCTACTATGGGTCAGCCGCTGGCACCATCTGTGGGTTTCGCCTGGAAAGATTAAAAAGAAAAAAAAGAGACAACCAGAAATAGCGATGTTTCGGTCGCAATTTAACAGAATTCATTGACTTTGTGTGTGTTGCACTTTGTTGGCCCTTTTAATAAACATTAGCATAAATTTACATATTAAACAGAAATCAAGTGAAATAATTCTTTAGAATGTCTTACAAAATAGGAGATAATGTTGTTTTTAAGGCTGCGGTCCCACGGCGGCCATGACATATGACGCTTTCCGCACGTTTTCGAAATGCGATTGTGGCGTGTCAAGCTTTCTAAAATTATGTGTTATATATCATCTTGTCCTGTACAACATTATCTTTCCTCTGATGTAGGATTTGTTTTCCTAGTGCAAAACGCTAATTCAGTGGGCACTCGCGAACATTGGCCTTTTCGGCAAAACATGGTTTCGTAGTACAGTGGTACAGGGTGCACAATTGGAGCAATTTATTTCGAATTTTAGAATGTTATAGAAGAAGAGTGCGTTCATTGTCATTAGAGGCCCTTTTTTCGTTTTTTATTTTATTTTGACAGATATTTACTTTAAAAAATGTACCTCGCGGAACCACATTCAGTCGCGGATTTTTGGCCGCCTACTCGGTCATTTTATTTGAAACTTTTTACATGTGTTTGCAACTATGGTAGAAAGAGCTACGCTAAATTTCATTGTAATATGGCCTAAACTTTGTTCGGAATGCTCACGTGAAAAGTGACAAAAACAGTTTTTTTTGGCAAACTTCATTTGGTAGTACAGTGGTACAGTGCTTAGGGATTGGCACATTTGAATAAAATTGTAGACCTGCAAAGAAAAACATATTCTGCTTTGTCATTAGAGGCCCTTTTTCTAAATTTCACCTTTGAGTTTCCATAAAAAAAGTTTGAATATAGGCGAAATCACGAATTTGTTGATAGTCAAAACCGAGTATTTTGACACTTTTTGGCAGACATTTAGGCCGATATTTCTAGTATTAAATGGAGATTACTGTTCCAGGTCCTGATTATTAGCCCACATTTTCACTATACGAGCCTATTTATTAAAAAAAATCATAAAACATACAGAAAACACAAATTGGATGTCTGGTTGCGCCCTCTATGTGGCGGTGGCTGAAATGTGACTACGCGAGGTTCAGGAAACTGCCGAGGATGGCGCTGATTCCAGCTGTGGTTGCCAGCTTCGGAAACTGGTTGTACACTTGGCTTCTTCCGTTTCTTGCAAAATAACCTGCTGGAAAACTTGGTCGAAACTCGTGAGGTCCTTTATAACACGGTACTTTCTGCTAATATAGCTTTTAGGAAGAATTTCAGTCGCTTTCATATTGTCAAACGATTTTTTTTTTATGCGAGGCTCCACCGGTTCAGTTTGCTGAATAAATTGTTCACGCAATCGATATCGAAGTTTCAAATTACCGAAATGCCAAAATCGCCACTTCCGCGTAGATACGCAGCGTGACGCACGTGCTTCTGGTGCGTGTGCACGTACGTGTTTGCTGCGTGGTTCTTCGGTTGCTGCGAGTTTTCGCGTATTTATTGTGCACTGCTTACCTCCGTCTGCTCACGCCTCTCAACCTTGTAACTACACCTGGGGCCCTAAACTCGTGAAACACGAAGTTGGGACCGAAGTTGAGGGAGTGCACCGATTGGACTATCACGACAATGACTCGGCGTTTTTGTCGCCAACATCCAATCGTCGCGCTCCGCCAACTTTCGGCTCCAACTTTGTGTTTCACGAGTTTAGGGCCCCAGCTCTGTTTGCCTAGAGTGAAGTTTGTGTCTGTCTTTTCGTTCGCTGACTAAGCTCGTGTCGGTGTCCTTCCTACTGGCTGCTGTTCGTGTTTGCGTACCGTGTGTGTCGCTTTGATTACTAGGTCCCCTGCTTATGGGGTGGAGCAAGCGGTGGGCGTCGCGCCAGGGGTGGGTCGTGATTGGGGAAACAGCTTAGCAGCCGACGCCGACTTCGGCGCGTTTCTTCTGCGCCCGCGCGTACTGTCATTGATATCGCTACTTCGCGCCGTGACGATGCGCTGATCTACAGGCCGGTCGGCGCTCGCGTGATATTGTTGAAAATTCTCGAGCGTGTATTTACGTTTCGAAAGCCATAATAGAATTAAAGTGACTATTTGGCCGGCAGCCGGCATACCGTGGCTCTGAAAACAAATTTTTACTAGTCAAAAAGGTAGGAGAAGCTCCTTCCACAAGCGTGATGCGCCCGTTTCAAATCTCTCCGCAGTCGAAAGAAGAGTTCACTGGAAGTGCTCCTTGTTCCGCTTCAATGGATTCCAACTTGTCTCTGATCCCACTTTTTAAGAAAGCGACCTTTGTATTCATCGGAGAGAGAACCGAGCCCCCGAAAGCAGCCTTTGTATCCATCGGGGGGAAGCTAATCCCCGAAAGTCGTATTTGTTTCCGTCGGTGGGGGAGAACTCTAATTTCCCTCTCGTGGCTTCCACAATGCTAAGTCAAAGTCGAAATATAAAGAAAATATGTACAGAAAGGCAAGACCCTCCTCGCGCGTTGGCCGCGACGTCACGGAAACGGTGGGACGCTATTGGATGCGGAGATGGCGGAGGGATATCTGATTCCTTTTGAGGGGCATTTGCCGCTACCTTCTTAACCTGTAACTGACTATAGGAGTGTCCTCCCATTCAGGTGCGCGCAGTCCGTGCTTCTGGCCGCCCCGGCCGCCCAAATGCGTTTTACTGATGCTTGTTTTGTTTTCAGTAAACAGACAATAGATTCCTGCTGATATTCTCCTTTATAATCTTCACTCTTGACAACTCTTTAGTGTTGGAAGGAACTCCGTCAAATTTGTCGATAATGCATGTGTAAGTACAACTGGAACCTCATAGTTGCAAGAATACTTTTCCTGGATTGTCTGCATTAGAGTGCCTCCATGTGCGCTTCGCGCACATGAAGGCTCCCTAGTCTGCACCTTTCTGATAATATGATCGGTCTCCATAAATTGCACTTCCCCGCTTCGGGAGCACGGCCAGCGGTGGTTCTCTGTCGGTCATAGAACCTCACACACGTGAAGCGTTGTCAAAGCTGTGATATACCGGGCGTTTTATTATTATGTTTTGTTTTGTTTTGTTTTTTTTTGCTGAAAGAAATTATACTTTTGGTATTCCCGGGGATAACATTATCGGCTGCGGCGGACGTAAAGGAACGAGCGTAAATTGACAGTTAGTGGCCTAATAAACTAAAATTTGCCATTTGCGAACGCTGGAGAGGGGGCGACCTCCTCTCCCCCGTTCGCTCCGCTGAAGTGGAACAGGGTGGGAGGAGCTCCCACGTCGTTCTTGACCTGTCACCGACTACAGTTGCGAATTCCACTTGTCATTTTGGAGCGATGACGAGATAGAGCTGAGTCATGTATTGCGTTCTCTGAGATGAAGAACGCAATGCGCGCGGAGTTGCTCCAGGTATGCACCAGTCACCAGTAAAAACGACCTGTCCTCCGAGGAGGTCGAGCGAGACGCCGGATGACATGGGGGTTGGTCACCTCACTGTCACCACCGTCTACCGTGCCTTCAAAAACACGGGGCGCAATGTGTTTCTGCAGTATAACAAAAAAATTGAACAAACAAGGTGCAAACTTTCATTTTTTTCCTAAGTGTGGTTTGCAGGGCTGAACCGAATACAAAAACGACACGCCGTGCTGGGATGACGTCGACTACAATGGTACACAATCATAACAAGAGCACAAATCCTGCCACATTATCTTGCTACAGTAATAAGAGCATATATATCTTTGTCCGCGATGCGGCAACAGAGACATTATTTCCAAATTAGAGTTCGAAGTTAGCCTTCGATGCTAGCACTGACCAACTCACTTCACTCACAAGGTGAAAACGTGAAACTTTGTATCATTCGGACAGCGATCGAAAAATAACACGCACCGCTTCAACTTGGACACCCCAAAAATAATTAACTTTAGTGGATCGCACGCAGAAGCTTCGTGTACGCAATAAAATTGCCAGTCAGAAGTATGGTTCCGCAAACAAAATCAACATATGAGTCATCAAATTATGAAGAAAAACCAGGTGTGAGCCTGCCAAAAATATTCTACATTTATTGTTGTCAATATTTGTTTTTCTATCCACGTGCTTATGTCGCAGTGGAAAGCCGTGAAACTCCCTATAAAATTATTTTGGGCAGTGTTTCCGACGGTGCTCGCTCGATCGTAAAATGCCGCTTTGTTGCTACTTTGGCAAATCAAACAAGGAAGCCACGTTCACCTACAATGCCCTGTCCACAAGAAGGGAAATCGAAATTTTCGCTTCGTTTTCTTTTTTTTTTAAATATTCTTCTCTTCTGCACGATATAGGGTATGAATTATTATCCTTCCCTGTACTCTCGCTGCGACGAACAGTCCGATAAACGAGTCACCCTATGACAAAGATGGGGGTCCCGAAAATCTCCTAAAATCGTGTTTGTTCTCAGAGACACATCCGTGTGTAAGAAAAACCGCGGCCCTCTCCACGAAGTACGGACATATTTGATAAATAGCGTTGACTTGAGGTTGAACTTTTCATTTGCTTTGTAAACACAAGCGTGACGTCACGTGCGCATCCCACGCGACCCGACTGAAGTCTGAACTGGTGTACTATGTGTGGACAATAGGGCATTATTTTGACTTCCCGGCCGCGACGACCTTGGCGAGGGAGGACAGATGGGGGTCCCGAAAACTCCTAGAATCGTGGTTTGTTCGCAGGGACACACACATCCGTGTGTAACAAAAAACGCGGCCCTCTCTACGAAGCTTACACAGGCATTGTGGTGTAACTACTGAAGATGCCTCCCGCAAAGGAGGCAAAACGTCTAGTGAAATTGTTTTTTCCTGTTCTGTGAAGTCGGTGCTTTTATTTTAATTATGTTACCAGTCGGTCTGTGTGACCAGTGCTCATTTGAAGAATCGCCTTTGTCTTTCCTGAACCCTAACAAAAACACCCTCATAACATTTTTTTTACTGTTCGGCTACTTTTATTTTATAATTATCTTTATAATTAAAAATAAAAGTAGGCGAAAGCCTACTTTTATTTTATAATTATCTGTAACCATTTCTAATTGAAGAAGTGACAAGTATAATAATTATATTATGATTTCATATCAAAATTCGACGAACCGGGAGATGCGAAATTCGGTGAAACAGCTTTTCAAAAAATTATCCGGTGCCCGAAACTTGCTTATTTTAAAATGTCTAACATGTGTATGTGTTCTAATACAGAAGATGAGTGCAATGTGGAAACTGAATGGCCTCACAGACAATTGTCAACGAGTTGGAATTTTTGATGAATTACCCTTTGTCGAGTCATCCTACTACCGATTGGCCTCTTCAATCAATTGCCCGTCGACAAATATTGTTGTTGGTTGATTTGCCATCTGCTGTAAGGGGAGAGTGTGGGGCTCGTCAAGCCGACATCTGCCAGCATTTTCATCACACCTCCAGCGCCTGTACCGACTGACGCCGACGAGTTGGCCTAGAAATAAATACCCACGGATTATACTATAGCCGCTAAATATCTCTACGCGAGCATGATTTGTTTTCAAAGGGGCACCCACCTGTCGGTGCTTCTTTGAATTATACATACGTCACGGTCAAAACGTTCCGCAGCTAATGAGTGAAGGCCGACCAACCTAATTTGTCCAATTGTCCGTGTATGGAAGATGAGAATGCCACTGCTTCAAAGACAAGACGTGTGCGAGCGTTGCTAAAAATAGAGACCACTATCGATGTTTTAGTATACATGGTTTCATTCTTAGTCAGAGCGCAAACAGAGGTTAGATGTCACGAAAACACAAACACAAAGACAAAAAGCACTTTATCGCGGCGCATTGTATGAGTTGTTATATTAGTGGGTGGAATCACCCAAACAAAGATAGTGAACGCCGTGGCGTTTAGGTGTTGAGCTGTTGGTGATGCTTGATCGGCGCAATGTGTCAGTCGAGCTCCAACTGAGGGTGATATGAGGCGGGGCAGCTCTGTGGTTTTACTTGTTGTTTATTCTGGTGTCTTTCGTTTTTGCGCGAAATATTGCGGATCACAACAGCTAGGCCTCTTCGTCCGATGAAGCTCTGTTTTATTGATTGGCGTTTGATCGAATAGTGGACATTTCATCGAACACCGCTTCATTGAACGCCAACTCAAGTAGCTTGATCGAATTATGTTTCTGCTATCAAATTATTGCAGATATAATAACTACGCTCGTCATATTTTGTAAATAACGGTAGCCTTTAGCGAAAATTGTGTTGCATAGTTAGTTTCGGCCGTCAGCAAATAGTAAAAAATATCTATCTACCTATCTCTCTCTCTCTCTCTCTATATATATATATATATATATACAAAGGCAAAAATGCGTACTGTCAGAGTTACTAATTCGAAGTTTACTATGACGTTTCGAGCAGGGACCACTCTTCATCACCTAATGAAGAACGGTCCCCGCTCGAAACGTCGGAATAAACTTCGAATTAATAACTCCGACAGTACGCATTTTTGACTTTATATATATATATATATATATATATATATATATACATTTTACTAATACAATGTCTGGACATTTACACTTACCAAGTAACCATTTTCAGCTGTGATTTGAGACTGTGTTGCGGTTATCCCGCTCTTATTTATTTATTTTTTGTTTCTCTTGTATCTGGCCTTTTTATTATAGGCTTCCACCAGCTCGCTTGCGCGTGAACTCTAATTTCAAGTGAAACAAGTTTGTAAATTAGGGTGACACTATATAGGTTTGAAATCCTATACCAATTTTATTGCCATTTGGTGAGCCACGTACGAATTTTGAAATATATCTTTTCATCCAAATAATCGATTAGTAAATCGAATAGCGATTCGGACGAATTTACTACGACGGGAAGAACGAATTTGCAAATCTCATGGCAATTAGGAAATTTCAGCCATCCTTGGTTTCCGATTGGTCGCGCTCAGTAGCGGCTCCCTCCGCACAGAGTAGCCTCAAGTCAGAATTCGCGGAGTCTCTACTGACCGGCCAAAAAAGTGCGGCGCTTCAACTGCTCCCGCCCAGACGACTTGATGTATTTGTATACGCCCATGACATCGGCCGCGATCGGCGATTGAGGTTCCGTTAGCCGACGCAAGCGTCAGCGGACGTCTCATATTTCCATACTCTCATTTAACTACAGAAACAAAAACAACAAAAAAATTATCCAGTTCATGTTCACTATGTTCACCACTGACAAGATAGTCGGTAGTCGACGAGTTTCCGTGCAAAGCCGATCAAAACGAGGCACCAGATCAACTTTTACGGCTGCCATCAGGAAAGATCTGGCTTGTCGCGTTCCCTCAACGTCACTCCGAATATTGTTTCTGCCCCGCGCACCATCCTCTTGTAGCAATATTTTTATTGTCCGCACGTGATTTCTTTTTTATGTTCTTACTGGTGTTTGATCATAATTCGGTCATTGAAATAGTTTTTGCTGCCGACCCTACCATTATTTTGACCCTCTGGCAGCAAAGGAATCTTATGCCGGCATTCCACACGAAATAAGAAAGTAGACACTCCGTCCCATATCTCAAATTACATCACAATGTGTTTACACAACTGTAGTGCAGAGGTACGATGAGCAGGGTCTGAGAAAATATTAGTTTCAGTATTTTCAAAAGAGCGACGAAACAAAATAAAGAAAGGACCGCCAATCGGCAGCGCGTGCAAGCAGAGGCAGTAGTGACAGGAAGCGCGAGGTGTGTCTTTCGTACGGCCGGCATCAACTCACGCACTGTCCGAAGATGTACTCTGTTTTACTCGTAGGATTGCAACGCTGCGGAATGTAGGCGTGTGATTTCAGAAAGCGCGTCCTACCATTTCTACGCGCGAGTGCTCGTGCACGTCCTCGCGCCCGTGCCTTGGCCAGCCCCGTACACAACTTATGCAGTATCGAGAAGGCATAGTTCAAAATTGTCGGTTTCACTTTTCCATACCGCTTCAAAACCCCATCTCGCTCAAATCACTTGGCAGCCGGACAATTTTGGCAGGGGGCCTCAAGCTGGGGATTATCCGGTACATCGTCCTCCCAACAATGAACGTGGGCGAGACGCGCCAGAGGGTGAACACGTGAAAGGAGGGGCGTAAGAGTGGAGAAGGAAACTCAAGGTCGCAAGCGACGGGAAAAAGGGTTTCGAAATTGGCGCGCAGGTTTTGCAGCATTTGCTCATACGGACAGCCATCGCCGCCCTGGTGGTTCAACTAATGTTTTGTTCAAGATGGCCGCCGTGGTACCGCAGCCTTAAAGGCATTGGGGTGAAAACAAAAGGAGCATCATTACACAACTTTTGAGGTTGGCAGCATAAGGAATGTTTGTTACTTGCAATTGACTTTTCTGGGTCAATATTTCTTTAGCTGGAACAATTGCTGGAGCCTTTGGAGCCGAAACCAGATCCATCCGCGTTTTCCAGCAGCCACTGTCGAGACCGCGGGAGAGTTTTTGAAGCACTTCGCCGTGACAGTAAGCCAGAGCTTCAAAATCTTCTTTGTGACATGTTTCTGATTGCGTGTCTCTAATTAAAATTGTGCCACGTCCGTTTTCAGGGTACCTGCGAGAGCCTCTGTCTTTTCTAGATGCCACCGCTGCATTTGAGGTGGGTGCAGTTTCTTGTTCGTCCTCTATCGGTTGCAGAACTTGCCGAAAAGAGACGAGTTTTGATGAAACTGTTTACTCCTGAACTCGTGGCCAAAACAAGGCAGGGTTGCAGCCCCTTGTGTAAAACTTGCATCTCTCGTCTCTATGCGGAGCACAAGCTTGTCTGCTTCTTTTGTAGAGTTGTGGTAACGTCAGAACTCCAAGCTCTGACTGGCTTGGATTTAAAGATAGTTTGTAGACCTCATGCCAGCTTGCTCTGAGATCTACTCACTGTCCTACAATCAAAGCCAATCAGAACTATACGTCATTCTGAAGTCACCAAAACCCCTGCGAAAGAAGCAGACGAACTTGCGCTCTGCATAAGCATTTTCACTACATCAGTAGCTCTTAGTGTGTACTATACGGGGTGTTTCATAGAACGCCAGCCAGAGGCTTCGTGTAAAAACTCTCCATCAAACACAAAATCTATTGATGTTGTACCAGTCCCCGCCAGTAGATAAGGTACATATTTAGGTGGGTGCATAGAATTTTGACTTGTATAGTCGAATTAAACATGGGGTTCTAACTAGAGCCATGTTGGGCATAAACGAAGACCATTGAATGAGCTGTAGTTAGTGACAAAGTGAGAAGGGCAGGGCAAGTCTTTTGAACGCCCGGTCTCCGGCATGAGCTCAATGCCTTTCTCCACGCTTTGGTGTCGCAAAGCTTCTCTCTGCTATTCTCACATTGTCAGGGGAGCGTGGCAGTTGGCAAAAGTTACCGCTTGTGCTACAGGCACAAGGCTGGCAGAGCAAAAATGTGGGCAACGAAGAATGGGAAAACTGTTGATGCCAATCACCCTCTTGGGCTCCAGAATAATGATGCGCATGCATCGTATCCTTCTAAAATTGACTGAATTAGTGTTTTTTGTTATTAAGCCTAGCAAGTTTCTAATTGGAACTATACTGAAACTTTTTTTAGGGGGTTGTTCTTTCATCCACTAAGGACACGTTGCTGAGATAGAAAGGCGTGATTTAAATTACTATGGGGCTAGACGTGACGTGGCAGTTATTGCCTCATCTAGCGCTGCCAAACTTCATTAACACATGGTGAAGATAGCACCAATGTAACTCACACCTCTTTTTTTAAAAAAAATACACTTAAAGGGCAACTCCGCTTCATTTTTGATAATTAGAAAACTATGCAGCCCTCTTCAGTATCATATAGGAAGACCCCATGTCAAATATTACGATCTAATTCCGTTTATATATTTAATAAACTGGCCAGCAAACCTTCAAGCGAGCCAACTCGCCGAAATCTGCCAACTCTAGCGTGCAGCGCGAGGCGCAATCATCAGCGCAGTCAATGCCACGGAGTTGGAGCAGCCGACATTGAGCCACTACGTCAGAGGCATGACTACGTCATTCTCACGTTTTGTTTGTTTTTACTTCTCAGAGTGAAATTGAACGATGACATCGTGAGTTTCTCCTCCCGGTGTTGGCTGACTGGGCGTTCACGTGATCACCGTAACGCGGATGCGCTAGTTTGCACTGCCCTGCGTGCTTATCGGTCTGTTTCTCCGCTCCCCTTCTCCTCTTTCGTCTTCTCCCCTTCCCCCTCTCCCCCGGGCCATCACCGTCCATGCCATGCGAAGCAACCTGCCCGCGTCCAATAAAGAAAAGAAAGAAAAAAAAAAGAGACCTGCCTGCGTCGCATGTCCTGTTTCTCGCTTCCTCCCGAACGTCACAAGACCACATGGTTCGACGTGACATGGCCATGACTCTGACGACCCGAGGCCAATGTTGCGTGACACAACCAAAGTTTCGGTTTCGGTATCAGCTGATGTTTAAATTAGGATTACACAAATAATATTCCACATTTTGCGAATCCGAAGACGTAGAGTTGTTTAGTAGTGCTTTGTGAATTTGAATCACATGTAAGCCTAAATTTTTCGGAATTGAGCGGAGTTGCCCTTTAAGCACTTCTTATGAGTTGTGAATGCGAAAGCATGCACGTCATTCTTTGGCTCCCATATTTCGTCTGCAACGTATTTGCGTCGACGGCAGAGTGCGCCCTTTCCTTGCCGATCTGACCTTGCAAGTTTTCTGTTACCGGCACGCTGACGGACACGCAGCGCCATGGGGTGGCGGTCATTTAAACTGACGTACAGCGGCCAGTGGAAGCCTCACCGACGCGCACCACGCAATGGGACTGAAGTCGAAATTCATCAGCTTTACTCTGCTTCTTTGGGATCGGGGAAACTGGGTGCCGTTGTCTAGGCTTTTCGTGTGGTTTCATAGCTGGGAGCTGGCTTCACTTGGAGGAGGATTTGAAATGCCGTTTGGCGCGGCTTCAAAGCTGATGACGTCGGCTCGCTCCATGGGACAGTTAATGCTTTTGCATAAAAGAAACTGGACGTTTTTTGTATTATTCTGAGCTATGCTAGTCCTATAATTGTGCGGTGTATGTTACAACTTTAAATCCTGTCTGTACAACCAATTCATCTCCCTCATGTTTCAGGAGTCGGCGGTTCAAGTACTTACAGACCTGAAGCTTGACATTCACGACTGTGATCTAGGTAAGTGACAACTTGATTTTGCATTTTTTTCTGCTTTCTGTCTACCAAGTCAGGGTGTCTAGCGACCGGGAAAACCGGGAAATGTCAGGGAAATTTTAATTACCGGGAAAAATCAGGGGCTCGTCAGGGATATTGTCAAAAAGCAAGCCCAGTCGGGGAAAATGAGCCGGAAACGCCATCGAGTGCCCTCAGCAAAGACTTGGAAGACTTGGGTGCAGAAAAATGGGCAATAAATTCTGCTTAGAGTGGGGTGCAGGCTCTGCTCACCCGATGTAGAGTGTGCTTGCTACCTGATGCAAATGGAGCAGCTGACAAATCCAGTCCAAGCCTTGGATTGGATTGGATTGGATTGAGGGCATGACACTAGGCTAGATCCAGTTAAAGCTACTAGATTTAGTAACGAATGGAAAAGTCGCAGACCCCAATCCAATCCAAGCCTTAAGCCGAAAGTATCCGAAAGTGTGCATCTGGCGGCTATGCTGCCATTCGGTGATTGACGTGTGTAGTTGAGCGTCGTGTTTTCATAGTGTTTCCGGAAGTGGCCTCTTCACTGACGATGTCGGTGGCAACGAAGTGCTCATTTAATTTGGACTGGACGAACCCAAATATTTCGGAATATGCAAGTTGTAGTAAGCCCGTGCAAAATTATCCTCACAGTGCTCAATGCTCAACGACTTGTGTTGTAATGGTCTTATATATTCAACCGCCGCTACAGTGGTCAGGGACTTTTACCTGCAATTGTCAGGGAAAACCTGGAAAAGTCAGGGAATTTCAAATTAATAATTTGCTAGACACCCTGCAAGTTCACCCTTTTTTTTTCTACCTTTCTGCTTGTATGTGTGGAACTTTTTGTTTTAGAAAAATGCTAAGAATGCATTGTGTGTTCATTCTTTCTTGTAGTTGAAGACGACTTTTGGAGGTCTGCTTTTCGAGAGTTTTCCACAGATGTTGTCTCCCATCATCATGGTAACTATACAATCATAAGATAAATTAATTCACTAGCATTAAAGGAGCTATGCAACAATTTTTGTACTTTGCGCAAATACCGCTTAAAACGGATCCCTAACGTTAATGACCCATGAAACACGCGTTCGTTTTTCACCCCACGCAATAGAAGTCCCAGAAACAAATTAAAGAAAAACGAGCAGCGTTCACCCCCTCAACTCGCAGCCAGAACAAGCGGCCACGCGATCTGGAGCCGATTATATGCCGCCAGTGTTGATCATAGCCACGCGCTGGGGTTAGCAAAGCGCAGGAAACGCGCTGAGTTCCAGACATTGTTATGGCTCGGCTGTTGTCGTCGTTGCAACGATTGGACACGGGTCACTACCCGAATGCTTCTTGAGCTAGCAATTATCGCGAGCCTAAGTGCCCACGCAATGCTCGGGTCCAATCTATGAACCGCATTCAAATATCGTCACTTGGGAATACTTCAATCCCCACGTTACGTCATCAAATTTTGCAAAGGAGAGATTGAATGAAAATGATCACTTTTGTCCTTGAAATTTACACCGCAACAAAGGAGTTTCTTGGCCAGTGGCATTGCGTGTGAGTATCCTTGAGTCCCACTAGTGCCAGTAAGCTCGTGTATAGTGAAAAACATTCCAACTGAATATCGTTGCACAGCTCCTTTAATTATCTCAACAAGCTCAATACTTTCAAAAAGTTGCATAATTGCAAAAATTTTAGTGTCTGGATTTTTTTTAATGTTTTGTTTACTGTTTTTTTTTTGTTTTTTTTGCACACAATGCCTCTAAGTCTTGATGAGCATGGTATGTATTCTTCTCGTGATATTTACTTTCTTGTCCAGCTAAAGTTTGGCGTAGGTTTACTGCCAGAAAAGAAACTATTTTTTAGATAAAACCATTGACCAGGATGTTTTTCTTGCTTCCTGTCTGCAAAAAGAATCTTTTTACGTGGATATTCATATGTGTTTATTTTATGTTTTTCTACAGACTTTCCGAGTGCTACTCGGGAATAAAAAAAACTTTGTATTTACAAACCAATGAACTGCGTGCAAAAAAGCTCTTCACAAAGGTGTCTTTAAATGGTGCATTTCTGATATTCAAATTTTACGAGTGTAGGTTTGAGGAGAAAAAAAATGTAAACCCGCAATATATATATATATAGTGACTTAAAACGAAAGAAACACACAAGAGGACGAAACAGACGACACAGCTTTCGACTTGCAACTACAGATTTACTGGGGCGGCTCGCCGCTCAGAGCTCGACTTGGGGAGGCGATGGGAAAAGGGGGGGAGGGGGATGAGGGGAGGTGTAAGAAACACAGGGAGACCGTTGCGGGGGCGAACACAGCGGGCGGTCGGACCCATGGACCAGACTCCCGACCGCCCGCTGTGTTCGCCCCCGCAACGGTCCCCCTGTGTTTCTTACACCTCCCCTCATCCCCCTCCCCCCCTTTTCCCATCGCCTCCCCAAGTCGAGCTCTGAGCGGCGAGCCGCCCCAGTAAATCTGTAGTTGCAAGTCGAAAGCTGTGTCGTCTGTTTCGTCCTCTTGTGTGTTTCTTTCGTTTTAAGTCAATGTAGATTACCAACACGCTCAAGTCTATAATTATATATATATAGATTTCTTTTTTTGCACAGGGAGGAATATGGTAAGAACTGTCAGGTTAATGCTGTTGCTCACAGATGGTGCAGCATAAAGCAAAAAGGTGAAAGCTTCTTTGAGGTGAACACCTCAGATAGATTTAGAAGATCTGAATGTCTATGGTACCATCTATGAGTACCGGCATCAAGCAGACAATTTTTACCACTTTCCTCCTGTGCATGAAAGAAAAAAGCTTTAGGCTTAAAATTTTTTTTATTGAAACTTTCTTCATGAAATTTGAGTATGATAGATGCATCAGCTAAAGACATTTTTGTGAAAAGTTTCAATGCACTCCATTGATTGGTTTATTAATACCTAACCTTTTTATACCCGAATAGCATACTGAAATACCCTATATATCCAAATTATCTATATATTGTTTTCGTTAAAATGGGGTCTGTCTTTATCGTATGGTATAGTTGCTTTGCACTCTTGAGTCGCTTTTCAATATTCACGGAAGAACTTTGGGTCGTACGCAAGAATCGTCATAGTCGTCATCATCATCATCATCATTTTTTTCTTGAGAGCCCGGTCATCATCATCATCATCATTTCTTTTTCTTGAGAGCCCACAAGGGAGTAAGCATACGTATTGCTCAATTTTAGTCCCGTAACTTTCCGTCCAACATTGTGTCATTTAGGTTTTGACAGGACCGAGTTTGAACCTCGAGCGAACGAACCACGGGTTGTCCTACCTGAGGAGGACGTTCCTGCAGACCCTCCGAAATCTGCGGTGTCACTCCGCACACACTTCCCAGAAACATGGCTTTGGGAGATGCACAATGTTGACAGGTGAGCTCCGGGCCTTCCTCCTCAAAGCAAAGTACCGAGGATAGTTATTCTTTGCGTCACGAAAGAAAATCTGATCGGAAAGTAGCGTGGAAGTGTGACAGTTGGTCAGAGTTCCCTCGTCCTTACTTGCGTATTCATCTGGGTCTAACAAAGAGAAGGATCAGTAGCCGAGCGCATTAACGTCCCTCACCCTTTCTTGCATATTCATCTGGGTCTAACAAAGAAAAGGATCAGTAGCCAAGCGCATTAATGCAGAACAGCTCGGAGCACGCAGAGCGAAAGCTCACTGTCACACCTGCTCGTCTCTATCTGGATGAGCATTGTACCGACGTGCAGTCATATATCACTGCTGCGGGATGTATGTTAATGGCCCCGGGCTATCGTGGCACTGCACTGGCTAAATTTCTTATTTACAGACGGCAAATCTGACGCCCACCGGGGCTGCCTGACTTCCCGCCGTCTAAACAAACCGAACACAATTACTTTAATATAAAGACTGGAGTTTCATTTGCGTATGCTCAAGCAAATAAGACGTTGCATCAAGCCATACACTCGTTCCAGCAGTGTTGAGAGAGAGTATTGCACACTATGTACGAAAGAGGATGGTGTCTTCTGTGCTGCTTGCTCATAAAGTGAAACATCCCTGGATCACCACAAAAAATTGAATGGCCTTTTTCCTTTTTGAATGCAGGGAGGGTTCTGTTCAGTTTCAGCGCGAACTCCCGCACTCCGTGACCCAGTGGCAGGCGGGTGCCCTCTGCTTGCACCCCACCCGGGGTGTGGGTCTTTCGAATGCGGCCCTGGACGCCCTCCAGCCCTTCTTCGCTCAGCTCACCCTCCCCGCAGTGGCCAAGAGGGGGGAGCTGGTGCCCGTCACCGCTACCCTCTTCAGCTACCTCCAGGCGTGCGTTCCGGTGAGCCACATCCCTCTGTTTCTTACTCTACAGCAACAGAGGGCGTTCTTGAACCTTTCAACCTCGAGAATCTTTCTTGAATGGCAGCCCTCCTGGTCTCGGTATTAATGCAGTAGGGCAATGCATATGCCCGCAGACCAGACTTGGGAAGTAATCCATTACAAGTACCAGACTACTTGTAATCCATTACCTTTTCAAGTAGGGTAAATGTAATCCACATTACTTTTTTGTGGAAGTAATTTGTAGTATAATTTAGTTACAAAATATTGGTAACGGGTTACTTTAACTACTCGTTACTTCTTAAAAATATGAACATAATACAGAAACTGGAGCAATAAGACCAGACAATTCAGCAGCATAAAGATAGCAAGTTCAGCAAAATAGAGAACATTGTGAAGTGGAGAATAGCCGATAAAAAAACACTATTTTTGTATGACAGGTCACTAGAACCATTAGAAAAATGTGCAAGGAATATTCAAATATGCGAGAAACAAAGATCCAGAAGACAATGCTGAGTAAGCTCTGCCCCTTTCCATCATCCTCCTTCGTGTTTTTCTTCTTCTGGGCAGGAGAAAGCTCTTTGTGTTTATTTGTTTTTGACTTTTACACCGTTCCACCGTTTTCAGATTTTCAAAGTGTGTGACCATCCACTCGATCAAAACTCAAAAACGAGTGCTCGCGCCCATGCATTTTTCAGTACTGCATGCAGCTGTACTCCGTTAGTGCATAAGCTGGCAGTGCATCAAAATTACAGACACAAGACCACAGTTTTGAGACTCTGCGCTCACGCTTGAAAGGCCCATTTCAAAAGAGAACTTTGGTAGATAGGTAATCCTTACCTCTGAATCTCCTAGCGGAGGTAGACGCTTCTCTTGAGCGTGCACACTGCTAGCTTTGTGAGCAGAGTTCCAGTGATCATTTCTGGTCTCCGTGAGCTAGCGGGATGGAGGGTTTGGTTGCAGCTTCCACTGCCTTGTTAGCTTGCAGGCAAACGGAGTGCACCCACATTCTTTCTCTTAGATACAATATTTTATTTTTACAAGGACTACCATAATGTGGGCATACAAGAAATGCAAAGTAGTGTTGCAGAATATTTTTGAAAACATCAAAATTGTTTCTATTGTTTTCTTGATTGCTGTACGGGAAAGGTAATGTGTAAGTAATTTGTAACATAACGAGTAAAGTTGTCTGTTACTTTTCAGCAAAAGTATTTTGTAACGGTAATTCATTACATTTAGGGCTCGGTAATTTGTAATTGTAATCCATTACATTTTTCAAGTAACGGCCGGGCACAAGACTGCTACAGACCTTGTAAACAATATTGCACATACTAGGGTTTGTTTTACTCTAGATGTACATGAATATGGGGTTCACATCTGCTCAAATAGTGCTTAAACCAAAAAAAAAAAAAAAAAACTTTTTACTTGAGGGCAGGAATGGTGAAGGAAATTGGAGAGCTCAGGGAACCCATGAAACAACTTTGGGGATCCTCTGGTTTCTTAGGAACTCAGTTGGAGAACACACGTCCTACAGCTTCGATGGTCTTCGGGGCATGACAAGCAAGAAGGAAAAAATAAAAATTACAGGAGGATACTCAAGGCTGCTTACATGTCGGGAGGCAAAAGCATTAGAGTCCCCCGGGAGAAACGTTTTCGAGTAATGTTTCCACACATAATAAAGTTTAGGACGATCTGTAGGATGATGTTGAGGACGAGGTCCTAGAGATTGATGCCAAGTACAGCGTCTAGGACGACGTTGAGGACCACGTCAAGGACAGCATCTAGTACGATGCCGAGGGTCCTAGACACCGAGGATGATCTCTCTGACAACCTCAAAGACGACACCAAGAACGACGTCGAGGATGATGCCTGGGACGACTTCCAGGACGATGTCTAGGACAACGTCTAGAGGACAACATCTAGGACGTCAACAAGAACGACGCCTAGAAGAGGACACTTAAGGAGGCTGTGGCGTATTTGTGTGGGCGGCCACGTTTGCCTGCGGAAGCCTTCGTAGACGTAGATGCGGTTGCCTCACAGTCCATCGCACGAAGCACACAACGAGCACAAATGAAGTCCGAAGTGCACCTTTTTCACACGGTGCTTCGGCGGTGACGTCACGCTCCTACACTTGAGCGTGAGCAGCGCATTCTTGATGACATATTTTTATGGCCATCTTTGGGGCACAACTACGTCATTTTTTTCACCTACTGGGACATGTAAGGTCGTCCTTGAGGTCTAGGACGACCTCATGGACGACGCCAAGGACAGCGTCGTCCTTGAGCATACAATGCAGCTCATTTGTATTTTTGTGGCCATGTACGCCGTTTTGTCGCTCAGTTGGACAAGTAAGGCTTTCGCCTTAAAAACGGACAGGGCCGTTTTTAAGGTGAGACCATCGAAGCTGTAGAACATGTGTTTTTCCAATACTCAGTGGCATATAGCTGCTGAGTATTGGAACGGCAGGAAAGTCTTTCAGTTGTCTACATCTTGTCATTATGGACGATTCACATTAAGAATGATATTTGGGTGGAACAGAAGGTATAGATATTAACGAGACGCGACTAGGCATGCAAAAATCAGAATAGTATAACGAGGTAGCTTTTAACCTGGACAATTCTTTTTTTTTTTATTTATTTGTTGTAAAATCTTGAGAGATGCCCCAGCTGCTAAAAATAGCCCACCCCTATTTTTGGCATGATTTGCTATTTCTTCAGAGACACCGAAAGATAGCCCACTTCCAGTACCTGCAGGGCCCTGGCCAATAATAACCTCAGTAAAAGCAGTATAACTGAACCTACTTAACGACAGTGGGAGATATGCAAACTTTTCTCACTGGGAAGGACAGTCATCTTTGGTTCACCGCCTCTACCTGCGATCAGAACTTTCGAGGATCACAAGATCTAAAAGTAGCTTTTTTTTTCTTTTTTTTATGGCACACCGCCAGCCCTTATTTTAGTCCATTTTGCCATCGGTTTTAGATAGAATATCTCTCAGAATATTACAGTATTATTAGTAACGTAGGTAAGTTTTCACATAGGGACACTCTCTATATCTATCCGTATCTAGCGTTTATGAAGATTTAAAAACCAAATGCCGACTTTACATTGCAGCGTTGTTTATCCAAAGGGCTGCTGAACAATACCATTGAAGGTGACTTTTTTGTGTTGTTTTTACGCTGTGGGTAAATTTTGTTCTAACTTGACTGCACAGGTGAAGCTGTCCCTAAATGCGGACAGTGCCTGCATGAAGCTCCTCGGCGAGCCACAGAAGCGGGATTGCCTGTGTGGCAACGAAAGCATTGTGCTGCGAGTGCAAGTGCGTCCCCTGTGCCTCGGAGCCATCAACATTACGCTTCATGCCCTTGGGCTTGCTGAAAACAAAGGACTGTGCGACGAGGGGAAGCCGCTCGAAACGAGGCAGGCCCGAGACTCTCTCCGGAAAAGCCTCCTCGTCACGGTGAGGTTCATGCGCATCAGCAGTCTGTAGATGGATGGGCGTTAATGGCCGCAATCCTTTGTAACGGGCGGTAGCTTGCGCCACCTAGCCGTGTTTTCTGACGTTGATTTGATGTGACCGAAAAGTGTTTCTAAATCGAGGTGTGATTTTTATAGTTTGGTGTGTTGAGGAATGAGTGCCAATGAGCGGTAGTATTTTTGTTTGCCGGCATTATTTAGAAACAGAATTACGCGCTATAAACATGTTTTTATGCATTTAAATCTCGTTGAGAACACTAATGTATTTTTCTCTAACGGTTTATTTCTAAAAACTATCAATTTCAAACCAGAACCAAGTCTTTAGTTGTGATCATCACCGGCACGAGGCATCACGTGAAAATATTGCGTCCCTGATTGGCTGCAGCCGCTTCATACGTCTTCGAATTGCTCCGAGTTGGTTGCTTGTTTCGAGCCGGACTCAATCTCAGCAATTCGTGTCAATCTAGGGAACAGCCTACCATCAACACCAAAATAGCTGAGAAAGTGGCCCCGTTTGAAGCGGGCCTTAGGTACCCGTTTCCGCGTTTCGTGGCGTCGCCGTCGCCGTAACCACTCCGCCGAGTTTAGCAGGAAATTGAATTGGTGTTGAGGTCATGTGACGTCAATTTTCCCACTAAATCTAGCAGAGAAACTGAATTTGTTCATTGGTGACGTGACACAAAGTCATGTGATGTCATTTTCCTCGCTAATTTTAGCAAGGAAAATTATGTCACATGATTTCGTGTCATGTCACCCATGAATTAATTTTACTGGAAAAGGAAAGGAGGAGGAAAGGGGGAGGAGAGGAGAAAGATAAGAAGAAGAAGAAGAGGAGGAGGGTAAGGTACAGAGGAGAGGGAGGGGCATACCCTCCTCTCTGTACCCTCCCCTCCTCTTCCTCAAGAGCTGCACTCTAGTTTCGCATTACAGAGATTTGTAAAAATCTTTAATTTTTTTTTATCAAAGAAAGTGATTACATTAATGATGGCTGAATGTGTGTCTTTTTTTTTTTACCTTGCTAACTTTCAATGAGCAGCTCTCTTTTATGTGGAGTTCAAGAATGTAAATTTTTAGGTTGATTTTTAATGGTCACTTAAATGTCTTGGTTTTGTTTTAGGCAGAAGGGCAGCCTCAAGAAAAATCAACTGCAAAGTATATCTGCCTAAATGGTGAGTGTTATTGCATACTCATGAGGGCTTGCGCTTCACTTTTTAGGCGGTTACAGAGCATTCAAATTTGTTATGCTTAAATTTGAGGGAATTCTATCGAGTTCATTGCAATCTCAGCTGTGATTGTCATTTTTACACTTAGCTTTTTGTCTTGTGTGATACAGCACAAATCGAGAACTGTTAAATACATCTTTTAAATTACATTTAAAGTGTTTTTAGTTACATTTAACAACCGCCTACTGTCTGCAAGTGGTGATGCACAACCGTTTTAATTGAATGACTCTGAAAAATTGTATTTTGATTTTAATCAAGTCCATCTTGGTCCCATTGGTTGGTTTTTGCAGGTTCCGGTGAGGGTCCTCAGAAGCACGAATTTCCGCTGGAACTTCCACGCAACGTGGTCTCTGGATCTTCAAGGGGTGTTTTTACGCTTTCAGGTGGATGGGCATTTCTCTACTGCATATAGTTCTGACAACATGCATATAGTCACCTTAGATGTGGTAATAATAGACGGGAGTATGTGCTTTTATTAAACTTCAAATTTTATAAAAGAATGCATCAGTAGAAAATCAGTTTGCCTTATTGAAATGGCATCTTGTGTCCTCACTGTAGAAAGGGCAGTGCAGTATGACTGCTAACTTACTAGGTTCTTCCACACGCATCATGCGGTAGTGCAGTTGGTATTGCCTGAATGCACTGGACAGTTAGGTCACTGCCGCCGATTTCAATTTCAATCTTGGTGAGAATGATGCAGTGTTACGGAAAGTCACAAATCAACAAATATTGGATGGAGAATTAATCACATCTGCCTTTCCTATAAAATCTACCACGCACCACCCCAAACTCATAACTTGGTTACATCGATCCCTGCCATTGTTTGTTATCGCACGTCCCGATCGTTGTCACAGATATTTGGTGTCCCATTTTTGCCACTTCAGCACATTTTATGCATCATTATTCCGAGAGGTTCAAATGACTGAAATCGCTCACCTACGTTGGCGGGGAACTTTGTCCGAGCCTGTCAGCGCACCACAGCCTGGACCAAGTGGAGTGAAAGCTTGCACCGCAGAACCTGGGTTCAATGCCCGCCCATGCCCACTTTGATTTTGAGGACTGGGGGGGGAGGAATAGTGGGGGGTAGAGATTGGAGTAAAACATGGCAAATTGTAAGCGCTGACATTGGTGCCTCCAAGAGAAAGAACAACAGAATGGCACAGAAAGTAGAGAAAGAAAGACAACAGATCAGGCGGGTTCATTTCGCCGTGATGAGTTGAGTTTCTTCGAGTACTCAACAACTTGGTTTAATTTTATACAGTGCACCACGCTGGCGGCTTCGTGCCAACTAAATCTAGAGGAACGCATGAATACTGACCTTGCAAGGGATGGTTTCCTGCTTCTTTTTGTATACCAAAGCGTTGCCAGCAGGATGGTCCTATCGGGACCACTGTTGTATGAGTTTGTGCACTGACGTTACGAAGCGGCTGAAAGCATGGAAACGTTTCCTCTAGATTATTATATTAGCTCAATGCGCAAGGTGCCCACTGGGGCCAACTAACTTCCTGCTGTCTAGACGAGCCTGTTATACCTCGAGTGGCATAGGTTGGAGAGAAAACTTCCTTTAGTTATGTCTCGCTCTCCACTTAGAATTCTGTCTAAACGTACATACAGCACACACACACTCACACACAAACAATTGCTTGCTCACATTAACTGCTCACCAAGCTTTATTTTATGTTATTATTGCTAGCTGCCAGTTTTCCATCATCTATCAAATGTGTTGTTTCCCTGCTTGTTTTGAATTCCCGATGCCCTCATGTAATTTCTCCAGCCTTGGGGCTAAAATAAATGTCAAAATTAATGTTCAGGCAACGTCGGGAGTCCCGTGTCAGTGGACAGGCTGGACAAGCTGGTTCGTCTGCCAACTGGCTGCGGGGAGCAGAACCTCGCTTTGCTGGCACCCAACGTCTTTGTGCTCGACTACCTCAACTCTTCCGGAGAGCGTGGGCATCCCCTGGAGTCAAAGCTGAAAGAGAACATCGCTAAAGGTTGGTCCCATCCATGTTTGTTACAGCTTCATAACTCTAGCTGCCCACCGAGAGAATGACACTTTCGGACGTATTGCATATCGTATAAGAATCGGCTTTGGAAATTATTGCAGCAGAACACTTTTCATTAGTCGCAGGGGGGAGGGATAGTGGGGGGTAGTTAAGGGCTGTTAAGGGCTAGCCACGGTCGGCGTCCAACAGGATCGCGAAACATGGACCATTTCAACAATTGGCGTCTGCGTGCTGCCATATTTATTTTATTGGACTGTGGAATGTGTTTTGAGCATGCGCTGTGGCCCTCTTTCGCAGAATACCGGACACAGCACGTGCGTCCACAACCCAGCGACCTGGCATTTGTTTGGCTGAGTGATAATTGCCGGAAAGACGTATACAATGGCGGACTGTTTCGTCCATACTCAATGAGACGTAGTGTCCAAAACTGACCCTCTCAGCTATACCTCTAGTTTACCAAATGAATGTTATGCTCATTTTAACTTTTTACATTGGTACGATTTTACAGCAGAGCTGTTATGGGCTAGTTTTCCCAGGATCAAATCTGCTAGCAAACGAATGACACAAAACTCTGGACAGCTACCGCCATCTATAGGCGACGGCTACAACCAGACAACCGGCTTGCCAGTTGTCTGGTTGTCGCCGTCACTTATAGATGGCGGCAACCTTTCCAGCCTTTCCACTCTGGTTTGCCGATTTGCAGCCGGCCATTACTTTCTTCTTCGTCGTTGTCTGTTTTTCGCAACGTTTCCTACTACTTATCAATTACTGTTTGGACTGACAATGGGTCGGCCGCGTGCCCTTTCTTCGGAGGAAGAAGGGCAGGAGTGGAAGGAGCGGCGACATGCGCAGCAGCGCGGATGGTTCCGCAACCACCGCAAAGCTGCTATCGCCTCAAGTTCCACTGCGTCGAGTGCTTCAGATTCCCTTGCGAAAGAAGAGCAGATCGCTCGCCTTGAAGGCCACCGCCGAGAACAGAAGCTGCAGCTCCACTGCTCGTCCTTCTTCACCAGAGTGGAAAGGCTGAAAGTTCTTTGGAACCCTTTTCTGAAGTTCAAAATGTCCTTCTAAACAGCCTTAAAATAATTCGGCCTTCCTAAAAAAGAAAAAAAGAGTGAGGTCGGCGAATCTGAGCTTTTTTGCCAGTTTTTCTGTTTTTGGGCTTGCAGGTTACCAGAGGCAACTGAACTACCGGCACGCCGAAGGCGGCTACAGCGCGTTCGGCTCGCAAGACCCAGAGCCGAGCCTGTGGCTGACTGCATTTGCTGTGCGGACGTTTGGGAGGAGCCGTCGCTTTATGCCTGTTGACGAGGCCGAACTCAGCGGCAGCATTCGGTGGATCCTGTCGAACCAGTACGACAACGGCTGCTTCCCGTCCGTCGGCAGAGTGCTCAACTCAAGATTAAAGGTTGGTCGTCTTTGGAGAAGAAATTGTTAGTTGCAGTTACCGAAATCTTAAGAAATTGCGAGGTACTGCTTTTTTGTTCACGGTGCTTGCTTCGAGATTTGTTCTTCGGCGTTCTTACCAGCTAATTCCACGATCTCATTGACTGGAGCAATAGGAAGGTTCTTAGAAATTGCTCTACCCGGCATTTCTTAAACTGTCGGGCTATGGCTTCGAACATGAAGCCATTTTTCTTAAGGGGGGACACTACCCAAAAAAGTAAATTTTTGAACCACTTGTCTGATTTAAATTATATTTACAAGGCTTGTTTCTGCTGATGTTGAGAACATTTCTGCCAATTTTTGTTAACCTGGGTGAAGTACAAAAAAAAATGCAAATGTTCAAAGACGAAAGTGGCGTGTCTACATAGGAAAACTATTGTTTTGAAATTACTTATATATTTGTCGTTTTCATGTGTTACATTGCATTAGGACAGCACAGAGCAGATAACTATGGAGCTATATTTCTATGTTATACCATCTTTCATGACAAAACAGCCACATAAACACAAATACACTTTTTCAGATTTCCATCCTTTGTCCAAACTTTTAGTTTTTGAGCATGAAAAATGACAAAAATAAAAAATACAAGCTCATAGTTATCTTCCCCTTAAAATTTCACCCCAGAAAAACTTATAAAAATGAATCCAAGTTGCGTAATAACAAAACAATAGTTTTCCTAAAGTGAAATTTACGCCAAAAAGTGGAATGGAGAAAAATGTGTTCAAAGTGCTCCAACTCCCACCTTTTCTTTAGCATCGGTGGACCGAAAATAATTTATAAAAAATTAACTGTGCAGTGTAAACTAATGAAACTTTCTGGGAATACCTCTAGATGTTGGTGGATGTAAATATGACATTTTTCAAAATCAACTTTTTTTTGCAGAAATTGTTTTTTCTGGGTAGTGTCCCCCCTTAATAGGGCAGCTAATGATATTGCAGCCTCAGCAGTGAATGGAACAATGGTTTGCAAATTACCAAAAAAGGACAACTTGCTAGTCTTTTCATTTCCCTAAGCTCTCATTGGTGTGGCAAACCTGTCTAGTTAGTTTCAGTTTGGCTTACACGTCCCGGCTACTTTCCGAGATTGATGATGCGCGTGGATGCCTAGCTTGATTCTGATTGATGAAACACCGTAATGCTATTAAAAAGGTTGCCTGGTTTTAAGCATATGCCAGAGAGTGCTTGTAGCATAACATAAACTGTGCAAATGAGTAATCTGATAGAACTTCACATCAACATAATGTAGGGTTGGTACACTATTATACTTGAGCATATTAGAATTTTTTGTTTTAGAATGATAGCTGTTATGGGTTCTTTCCACCAGTGGAAATGACGTTCATTGTTGATGTTGTAGTTGTAGTTGTTGATGTTGTAGTTGGCGATGTGAGACATTTATCGTCGTAATTGCCAAATTTTTTAACAAGCTCCCCACCGCCCACGGGAATCGAACCTCCGTCCGCTGCGTGCGAAGCAGAGGTGTTGCCACTGAGCTACGCTACAGCATATTAATAACCCGATCTATACTTTGGGTTTTTGTAATACCTGATGCCCTCTGCACGTGCTCTCTGGAAAAAGAATAGCCGATAACGAAATACCATTGTAGCACTGTCAATGCTAAAAGCTTGTACCAAAAAAATCCGCTTTCATGCGCTCCGGGAAAAAAAAAATGTTGGGATTATGTAGTATTTGATGCCCACTGGGCATGCACTCTCTGGAAAAACACAGAGAAATAGCCAATAACAAAATGTTGTTGCAGCACTGTCAATGCAAAGAGCTCATGCCGGGAGATGTGCATTTACATGCTCCAGAACAAACAAAAAAAAAGCGTTGACAAAATGGTCACATGTCTATTTTGTTCCAACTTTTGTTCACGCTTTGCCATTATGTGTAGCAGCTATATATCACTGTGACTGTACTGTGTATTAACACAGGACTACACAATTTTTGTTTCCAGCATTTGAAGTTTGAAACAAGGACCTATTTTACTAATACCGAGTGACTTATAAACATTATGGGGTTAGCAACATCATCAATAGGTATGGGGCACTATATTATGATTTTTTTTTTCTTTATTGGCAGATCAAATTATAGTAGCCTGCTTAAATGAAAAAGTTTTGGTCACTATCTCCAGGGGTGATCAATGTTAAGGCAGTTTCATTGGCAAAGGGCCAATCATTTTAGAAAACTGTAATCACATAGTGGCTTGAGGAGATGTCAACAATAATTAATAGAAGAAAAAAAAAATAGAATGGTGAAACTCTGTGTTAATGCAGGGAGGATTGGAAGGTCATTCCCTGGCTCCACTGACAGCATACGTCCTGATCTCGCTGCTCGAAGCCGGGGCAGAGATTCCCCAGGTTTCGAGAGTGGGTGCCGTGCGATGTCTCCTGCAAGAGCTTCAGCAGCAACAGCAAGACAGCCACACTATGGCTCTAGCCGCTTATGCATTCTCTCTCTTCGAAGACTCCAAAGCATCTGAGCTCCTTGCATCCCTTCGTGACGAGGCTCAGCCTGGAAATGGTGAATCAATTTTTTATTTTTTTTTGTGTGTTTTTTGCGTATGGCATAAGCTTGGTAAAAGCAGAGGGAAGTTTGTCAGCCCGAGCAAGCATCTGGGTGCCTTCACTGTAGACAAGAAGCTTAACTAGCGCACTACCACTGCTGGCCTGGGGCCTTCGACATGCATCACGCAGTGATAATGATTGTACAAATGCACACCGGTACAATGCTCGTCCAGTTGGAAATGGGCAGGTCGTGGAAATGGAACCCAGGATTTTTGGATTCTGCATCATGAGAAAATGGTAGTTGAAAGGGGGGTAAAATACAGGTTTGCAGTATATGCACCAAGTTTAATATGAGTGTATGTGCATGTAGCAAAAAAATACACCTGCAAGGCACTTGACGACTTCTTTTGTGGACTACTTTAGAGAAGTGCCAGTAGGTGAACATGTGCTCAATTGAGTACAGGCACTCCCTCGACCAAGAAAACAAGTTTTGTTTGGCTCTTTTAAGCTGCAGTGAACTAGATTGGACTTCCCTAAAGTCTCTTTTGTTCCTATTGTGGCTTATCTTTTTGCCCCCAAGTTCGTTCTAAGAAACTTCTTAAAATGAAGGATTAGGCACGTTGGATATTCATACTTATAATTTACAGTGCATAAGGATAATTCACACTGGAACATGCACACCAGTCAAAAGCACTCAGCACTGACTATCAACTTTGTGTCATACTTGGTCTTCTACGCCGTTTGCATATCTACCCCACTTCGTTATTTTCTCTTTTTTGCCAGGTAAAACAACTCAATCTTTCTCGGACGAGATTATAGAAGGGTTGCTAACACATTTTTCGCCCAGCTTCACAATGTTCTGAGCCTCAATAATTTCTCACGTGAGCGGTTGAAAGTTCTTGCTGATAACAGTGTAGGTTTTTTAAGTCTGCTGGGCATCCACAGTCCTGACAATAGATGCCTAGGTGTTCGGAATTTTCTTTTTTGATGTTCTAGTTGTGCTCTCTTAAAGGTACACTGATAAGGTATTTAATTTATGCTCGCCAAGCTTTTTATATGTATATGACATGAGAGCCCAACTACTCGGAACACAATTTATGGCTCGAAAATCGTTTTCTTTCCGCCCGACAACCGCCGATCGAGAATGTGCTGTTGTGAGTCACGCTTACTCTCTTCTTCATGGTCACGAGCCGTTTTCTATGGTTTAGACACAACCACCAAAGATAATCAAAGTCATAGGTCATTGAAGGCAGACGCTCAATACTAAAAAGGCTCGAGGTACACCTAAGTACTTCTTATGAGTTGCGAATGCGAAAGCACGCACGCCACTCTTCGCTCCCTTCTTTAATCTGCAGCGTACAACGCGCTGACCTCGGGTGTGGAACGTTGGGGCCGCTGCCTCGCGGACACGTAGCGCCATCGAGTGAATGATCGTTCAAACTGTCGTGTGCCTTGCGGCGCGACGAAGGAACAGACAGCGACGTAGTTCCCAGCAGAACAAACCCCTTGGTTTATTCCATGCGCCGTATATATTGCCACACGCCCTACTACCGTTAGACGCGAGCGAATGCAGTGATCAGTGATAACAGAATAGTGTGATAACACAGTCAGGATGACACCACACAAACTGACGTGCAGGGGCCAATGGGAGCCTCGTCGACGCGCGCCAGCCAATGGGACCGAAGTGTAAAAGGTGCCGTTGGCTAGCTTTGCGCGTGGTTTCATTAAGGTGCCGTTTTGCGTGATTTAAAAGCTGATGACGTCGGCTCGCTTCATCAGAGAGTTAATGCTTTCGCATTCAAATATTCACATTAAAATAAACTGAAAATTAGACACCCATTTTTTGTAGCTTCTAAAAAATTGCAAATACGTTGATTGAAAAAAAAAAAAAAGAAAAGAAAAGCTGCACAGCCGTAAGTTTTTTGATAAAATTCACGCTTACAAGTACCGCCAACCATTGTAGTAGAAACGCGCAAGACACGTGCCACAAGTGGGTGCTCCGCCATCATTTGCTTCCAAGGGCCGCTCATATCAATGCTGTGCCGACAACTGCTTCCAAGGGCCGCTCGAGACACGGACCTCATGCACTGGTGCATTTGCCGCTGCTTGCGACACAAACGCAAGCACATGGAGGGGCTTTAGCGCAGCCACGTGACTTCCAGTAACTTTCTTCTCCTCTATATTTCTTCTTCCTCCCCAGTCCAGTTTTGGTGTCAGTTTCGAGCAGTTGCATCTTTTTTACTTTATTAAAAATACATGTGACGCTGTAGCAAAATATTGATTGGGTCGTCTTCCGACACCATAATAAATCTCCTGGCAAAAAAAAAAAAAGTTTTTGGGGGGTGTCATTGTCCCTTTCAAGGAAGACGTGCATCCTCGGTTCCCTGCAGGGAAGATAATCCTTTCAGCGCCCTTCTCTCCTAAGCTGCGAGGAGAGCCAAGTTGGTGCAAGGTAGAAAGGGGAGAGGATATAAGAGGGAGGAGGCGGGAAAGAGTGGAAAGCGCAAAGTGTCCATCGGCCTTTAAGCAGTCATTTACACATCATCCAGTTTGCCCTATTATAATTTTTGCCATTTGAGAGGGAAACAGAATAAACCACTCCGTCTATATACAGGAATTAAGGGGTTTAATGCTTTTTAGTGCAAGCCTCTACTGTGATTTGGGGTAGAATTTTTTTTTTTTGCATAAAGTTCGTTGGGGGCTGAAAGGATTACATCTACTTTACATGATTTCCTATCTTCTTGAGATTGTGTGAGATGTCATGAATGTAAAGTATAACTGCTGGCCTTTTCATTCTCTTTCTTGACTTGCCTGCTGTACTTTTACTCTTGGTTTATTTTAAGGAGGTTTTCAGCTACAGAGGTTAATAGGTGTGTAGGGTGTCCGGCTTGTCACAGTTTGGATATTTGTGTCTCAAAGCTCACTGAGGCGGAATGCTGGCTGGTTAGTTCCTTTATAGCCAGGGATGGGCAAAATACATGCAAATATGTATTGAAATACAAATACAAAATAGTACTTTGTCAAAAATGTATTTAATTACAAATCTAGTTACATTTCCAGAAAAGCATTTAAATACAAGATACAAACACAACCAAATGTATTTGGTCTCCTCCAAATACATTCCTCAAAATTTACATCAGCAACTTCAGGGCACCTGCAACGAGTTTCTGGGTATCTCGTTTTAATTTTGCATCGCAGACTCGGGAGTTAGTGTGCGAGGCTCTAGTAACGTAATAGAAATATAATCATGAAAAAATGTAATCAGCTTGGACGTAATAGGTGAAAAAGTACAGCTTTTTTTGTCGATTACATTTTGGTATAGACCAACAAAGGACCGAGACAACCAAGAGGTGCAGCACTAGCTAGAGAATTCTTTATTGTTGCAACTCGCACCAGTTACGAAAATCTGGACAACCCGCGCATTTAGAATGTTCCAGGCAAAAATATGGATGGAAATCAGGCTGGAAAGCATCACAAGTTGTCACAGGCACTTATTTAGCCAGTCTGCCTGTGAACGTCGATTTCGTCACTATTCTTGCCCTGGACTAGCACTGTAATCACAGTCACTAAACGCTTGTGCTTGATTGAGAGACACTGCATTCGGTGCAGAACGTAGTTTTCTTCCTGCTCTGGACAGTGACAATAAACTTGAGGGATGTATTTTCGCCCACAAAATTGTATTTAATTACAGTTGTACAGTAAAACGTCGTTAATTCGACCCCCGCTAATTCGGAAATGGATAATTTGAACTGCCGATCCGGTCCCGTCAAACGTATGTCTTAGTCAATGGCAGGAAACGCTCATTAATTCGGAGGGAACGCGGCGCACTATGGTTAATTCGGACGAATTCGGCAGGTGGCGCTAGCTACGTCTGTTCCAAAGGGTATGACCGCTATCCATTCAAAGTGCGCACGTGGTTTTTCCGGTTTTCCCGTGGTTCTTCGTTCTTCCGGTTCTTCGTGTTTCGTACCAGTTTTGCTCTGGATCGCCGTGCTTCAGCGCATTACTCTCCTGGCACGGAAGCGGCAGAAGCATTGCTGCAACGGAAAAAGGGTAGCACAAGTGACCGACGACCAGAATGGCAAAATCGCGACACGCGGGGCTATTGTTCCCGAGCATGCCAATAACGAGAGTGACAGTCACGTTTTATGCCTCAACGCGGGGATCCTAAAGCCCGCCATTTTAACAACTATCCTATCCCTCAATTTTTCGCCAGCCACCCCTGCATTGAAAAATGCAATGTGCTGGCACTCTCGCTATCGGCGCTCGGGGAAAATAGCGCCGGGTGTCGCGATTTCGCCGCTCCGATTACTGGTCAGTTGTGCTACTCGTTTTCCGTTGCAGCTGTACTAGGCTAAGAATTTAGTGACGAAAGTGGAAATACTGAGGGCCTTGGAGGGCGGCGTCTCTCGACAAGTGATGGAAAGTTGCGATGTCAAGAGAAGCACTTTGGCCACATACGTAAAAATTGGGGCCGATATCCTACAGGCTTTCGAGAGCGAGAAGTTCAACGCGAAAAGAAAGCGGCCTTGGAAGGTGGTGCGCCCGAAACTAAAAGAGGCCTTGCTGTGCTACATTGTCAGCGCACGGGATGCGTAGCTCCGACAGTGCGAGTGCGGTGGAGCACTCGACCGCGCTTAGGAAAGTTGCCGTCTCCGCCCAAGTGTCGTCCAGAAAGCAGGCGGTAATAACAGATTTCTTCTCAAAATAAAGATATGTCAGGGAAAAGTTTTCGCGCAGCTTTCTTTGTCCTTTCGATATTTCGACTTTCGGATAATTCGGACATTTTTGCCGGTCCCATGAGATCCGAATTAACGAGGTTTTACTGTATTTAAAATACCCACGTTTTAGTATTTAAATACACACGTCAAATACATAACCCATTTTGTAATTAAATACAAATGCAAAATACACAAAGTATTTGAAATACGTATTTCAAATACTTGTATTTGAAATACTGGCCATCCCCGCTTTATACTGGTGTGCATGTTTCAATGTGAATTGTTCTCGTGCACTGTAATTGATAAGTATGTCCCAAGAAACTTCTTTTCTCTCATTTCTAATTCGCACATTTTTTCACCCCTGAAACCCTCCAGTACCGTTCTCTTCCAGGTGGTGCCAATTATTTCTAAAATGGTGAATTGATGATTTCTGCTATTACTGCGAACCTTTGGCTGGTACGTCTGCTGTGGTGGACACACTCTAAAGAAGTACTTAATAAAACATGCAAGCTACTCAAAAACAAAAAAAAAGCCTAAGATCCAGTTTTAGGTTTTTCTCTCACGACGAGTAAATCCGCTTTAATTTTTCTTGTTTGCAGGGACAGAAGCGACGCTCCACTGGCACAAGAACGTCTCGACAGCAGTGGCCGTCGAGACCGCCAGTTACGTGGTCCTGGCGTCCTTGAAGCTTGGCGGTCGGGCGGCTGCGAAGTCAGTCTTGCCCGTGGTCCGCTGGGTGCTGGAGCAGAGGAACCACGATGGCGGATTTGTGTCAACTCAGGCACGTGTTGCCTCTCGCTTCCTTCTGGTTGCAGAGTGGTGTACTCCTTCTTAACCGTTTAATGCTGGCATGCTCTAGTTCCCCGGCATACTTACGAGCTGCCTCGTCAGTTTACGGAAGCTCAGTTGTGAGGTCCCAATATCCCGACCGAGGTGCCCACCGTCTGACTGAGGCCTATAGTGGAGAAGTCGCCATGTAACCTTGATTTTGGTTTTGCGTGTCAGAAGATGCAGTTGGTCAAAAGTAACCCCCAATCCTCCACTGACTGGGGTGCGCCAGATCCCCTTCGTTGGATCGACACGTAAAAGCCCCCAATTTGACTTTGCGATTGAAGATGAAGTTTTTCCGTCTGTTTATTTCTCATGTTTTTTTCCGAGCTCACTTTTTGTGCGAGAAGTGAACTGTTCTTTTGGCTTTAAGCGTATGTTAAGAAGAACCCAAGCTAGCATGCCAACACGCTGCCTACAGCGTACCCAAAGGAAGGTGCATTAACGCACCTCCTCCTCTTGACGGCAATGCAGGATACAGTGGTGGCACTTCAGGCGCTGGCAGAGTATGCCAAGGCGACCAGCAGTTCTGACACGCGACTGCAGATTCGGGTTTCTTCCGAAGGCCTGGGCTCCACGTTGACCGTGAATCGAGAGAATGCTCTTCTCAAGCAGGAGCTTTTTCTGCCCGTCGTACCCACTGTGCTGCACATAGAAGCCACAGGAACAGGGTGTGCTTTCATTCAGGTAATCTTTCACGTTATCTCGCTACTAGGAAAGGAAATTAAACTATAATTGCCTCATCCTATGGGTGTTGGTTAGACTCCTTCTAATTCTCTTCAGAACAAAAGTACCAGTGAAGAGTAGATTGGACAATTCTATTTAATTCTTTATATCTGTTTTGAGTGCATAACCTGCAATCAAAGTTATGGGTTTTTTTTTTTTTCATGTTTACATAAGTTTTTATTAGTTTAAGCTAGTATGGCTTAATTTAATTTAACCTTTTTGGGAGTTTGAATTCATTAATGTTGGCATACATGAAAAAAAGAGTAATTTTTGAATAGATATCGGACTTTACTTTGCACCATTTTTGCAAAATAATATAAATATTTTCAAAAATAAACATTACAAAAAAATTACAACATATGTAGCTTATATGCTTGCATATCTAAAATTGGCAAGGGTCAGCTACTGTTAGCTCAATTCTGTAATTTGTCTTTAGGCAACAGTGAAGTACAATGTTCCTGCCGCAGAAGAAACAAAAAGTTTTGGATTCTGGGTCACAGCATTGCATGCGAATTGTCGGCCACAAGTCAAAGTGTGTGCGAGGTAAGATTCTGCATTAAATTTTCCCTTTATGGCAACCATGTAATTTGGTTAACCCTATATTTAAACTTGGCATTACTTTTCCATCAAATCTAAAAATAACTTCAATGTTTTTTTGTGTATTCTAGGCAGCCTTGCAGGAATATTTATAATCTGCCTACCGTAAAATACCGGGCAAATGCCCACTCAAACTTTAAAGATGCAAAAAAAAAAAAAAAAATGGGGGATGGGCATTTGTTCGGTCATCAATTTTACATATAAATGTACTGTGCGTATTTTGTCAGATCTTACATATTTGGCAATGGGCGCTTAATGTGGAATGGGTGGCTGCGCGGTATTATACGGTTTTCATTGTTACGTGATTTTCTACTTTTATATTTTTGCATCTTTCTTTTGTGTGTAAGTATTTTGTTAGACAGATGACATTTTTGTGCATCACATAGGAAGCTGTAAGCTATTTATGATCACTTTGAAACTAAAGTATTATTATTGTAAAGAAATATGTTAGCATGCTTTATTCTTGTCTAGAAATTTAGTCTTGGTAATTCAGAAAATTATTTTCCTTTTGCAGCTACCTTGTTTCCTGGGCCATGTCTGGCATGGTTATCGTTCAAGTCAAAATGCAGTCTGGATACCGTTTTGAAAAGGTGGGCGCTTCTTCATGGTGCGTCTGTTTAGAGGAGCAAGCTTGTTGCATTGCTCAAGGAGTTGTATTGGCAGGAGCTGCAAGCAGAACATGGCGTGGAAATTAAGAGCAAAATTTGTGTTTCTAGATGTAAGTAAAATTGGTTCTCAAATTCAGATTTCACTATATTTCTTACATCGAAAGCTTGATCTCTAGGTCCTAAAATAAACATTGAATGTATAATTTACTTGACAGATGTTACAGGTATGTGCGATTTGATTGTTTAAAGTTTCTCTGTTATAGAGAGATGAGTTTGCTTTTAACGATTGTAGCTTCGGTAGAGATGTCACAAAATACAACAAAATTCGCCTAAATCTTTTTTCTTCACTGCTGATTCTTTTTTGTGTACTTTATGTGTATGCATTGATTAAGGTTTATTTCTGGGCTTACTGGAAATCTGCTAAGAGACCACATTTTATAATTGTTTTTCAAAAACGAAATTTTACTATTGTTGACATCAGGTAATTCTTGAATGCCATGCACTGGTGATGTAGTATTCATGCGGTCAGGTTTCTCAGTGTTGTAATCTCCTTTCTCTATGTGTTTCTGAAATATTTAGTTTGCTTATGTTGCTAATTGAAAGTAATTTTTTTTGGATATAAAGGTTTGATTTGAATTTTTACCATTGAATGCAAACTGCAGTTAAGTTGTAAATTTTAATATTGTTTGTCTGTTTTTTAATATTGTTTGTCTGTTTTTCTTCTTTTAGCTTTCCGGCTCACCTCAAGTGAAGAGACATGAGGTAGACCAGGACCAAGTGAATCTCTACTTTGAAGAGGTGGGCCCATTCACTTAATTCTATTGACTTGAGTATATGTTGTTATTTAATTTCATCAACTTCACTTTTATTCACTTCCTTATACCATATTTATATTGAATTCATTCCTTCACTTCCTTTGCTATATTATCGATCCCCTGTTCTTTGTACTTTAGCTACTATGCATACTTACTTACAAGGTGTATTTTAGTCAATCCAAAAATTCTTTTATAAAAAGGGAATGTTAAGGATTTTTTTTGTGTGTGTGGCTGCACTGGCCAGCTATTGAACTAGAAAGGTTGACTTAACCTTTAAAATCTTTATTCTGTGGGCGTAATGTTAAAATGTGGTCTAACTGTGCCGTGAAAATTTTGTTAAAAAATTTGTAGTGGGTGCTACAGGGCAAAAAATGTTGTTGGCAATCAGGTCAGCTGAATATGGAAAAAACAAGAACACGAAGGAAAGGACTGGACAATCACACCGCTGACTAACAACTGACTTTTACTTTTTCCTCATCCCAGCCTAGGCCTTTTCTTCTTCGTCCTACGGCTCATTAAACACGTTTAAAAACAACCTTTTAGCCTACCACTCAACGGGGTGTTGCAAACCGCAAATATTGGCATTCTTTTTCATGAACCGTAATTGACAAGGTGCTCACGCAATCTCCTTTTTCTTCAATGGCCAAGGCCTCCAGCACTTCACGTGCAAAGTTGCTCTTGTTTCTATGAAGGACGGTTATACTGGTGAGCTCTGCATCACATCCACAGGTCCGGCAATGAGCTGACAAGTGTCCCGCTGATGTAGTTTTCACCCTTTCCTTTGTGTTCTTGTTTTTTCAGTGTTTAGCTGACCTGATTGCTAACAGTATGTACCAACTAGCTCAACTAAAACTCGTAACTCAAAAAATGTCCTCTGTAATGGCTTCAAACTGAAACTAAGTGAGCAAAGAGTGGTGCAATTGCAGTCAGCTTGGCTTGCAGAGCTGGCAGAGAGTGGAGAGATTGACGTAGCTGGTGCTCTTTGCTTGCTTAGTTTGTTTTTATCCATGTACAAGGGTGACATAATCCTGGACCGACTAAAAAAAACACCCTGCATGAATGATTTTTGTATGTACTGTAAACAACTTAATTTTCACAGGGAGCTAATTTTCGCAAGTTTTGTTACTTCATATATATTTGAAAAAATTCATCAAACGAATACATCTACCCATTGAAAAGAATGCATGCATGTAACTTTAAATCGTGAGATTTTGTGACCGCGAAAAGTTTTCTCAGACCCACACTTAACAAAATTTGTGAAATATTGGGTCGCAAGAATAGAGTCGTCTAGAGTATATAATTTTCGCACCTTTTTCAGTTGAGCAATCGCAAATCCTGTGCATTGCTGGAGTTGGTTCAAGATTATGTTGTGGAAAATGCAGTCCCAGCCACCGTGACGCTCCAGGATTACTATGAGCCCGGTACGTCACCCCAATTAAACCATGAAATTTTTTTTGTCTTCTCAATTTCCCTAGAGACTGTTGGGACATAATCTCTGTTGTTCATAAAATAGGAGACACAAATTCATTTTCAACTTTTTGCACTAAATGTTACAGAAAACACCGTAGAAAAGCGAGCAGCAAATAATCTCAATGCTTGGCCAGACCAGGCTGTTGCGTGTTTTTTCACCAGCTAGTGTTGCCAATGTTCATTACGATTACTCACCCGAGTTTGCAATGCTTATGGTACAGGGAGACAGTGCTCCCTACTTTCTTCAAGTTCAGATACTTGTGTTGCCACACTAATTCATCACACTCATAAACCCAAATTTTTACCGACATATTATCAGTGCAGAGCACAAGTTGACATGGCCATGACATGGCTTGCACAGCGTGGAACTTGTCAGATCGTAGCAACATAATTGCAAAAATTTCCCCAAAAAATAAAGAAACAGTGGTTGTTTCGTTTTTTAAGTTTAGTGGCGAAACTCGTGTTTCTGGCTTCCTATCCGTGCGTGCTACTTCTTTTATGAAGCAATAAGCAGCTAGTAAGACTCTCACTCAGTATTGTTTCATAGTCTTCTTAATTTTCCTCTTGTATATCGCCGACGAATTGTGTTTCAGAAAATGACGTAGTCAGCTTCAAAAATCTAGTTTGAGTAGTTTTCTGGGGGAGATTAGACGTTAAAATGAAGCACTCTGTTGAACCTGGGAGTGCTGTGCAGAGTTGCAGTGGATAATGCATACCTTTCAAGAAGGTTAACTGATTCTAAATAAAAACGGATCCTTTTGTTATTCTGTTTATATTAACTTCCAGACCTTGAGTGCAGGTTCCACTCCTTGCAGATTAAGGAAGGTTCACACATGCAGCACTGTGCTGAGATAAAGCAAAATCAGGGCTGCATCAGTGCTAGTGTGACTGCTGACTCAGTGCTGGGTTAGTGCTGCATTGTGTTCATAAACAGTAAAAGGCTAAGTCACAATCAGCAGAGTGCTGATACTGTGCTGATAGAATGCAAAGTCAGCACCGTGTCTTTAGCACCGAGTTATTGCTGCACCATACGTGAACAGGCCGTTACCTCTAAAACAAATAGCGTGAAACGCATTGAGATGTAAATGTCTCAATATACAGGAGTGACTGCTGTGAAAAACTACACAATTCCCCCTTGTCTCTTGGATGACAATGGAACCTCTGAGGACCTCCAAGAAATGCTGATCCAGTCGGAAAGTGTCCAGAGCTCCCGAGTCGCCGGAGCCCGTTTCCACGGATTTAGAAATGTGGACCATGATCTGGATTTCCCGGAGGGTCCAGAAGCGAACGCTCAGGTTGTGGTGCCTGCTCCACCAGAGTTCGAAGGTAATGCGGGATTGCTCTTTGGTTGTGGCGGCTTTTACTGTTTGGTCGCTCCAAAACATTTTGAAATGTGGGGTGTTTTGGTGGAAAGAGAACCATGTTCTTCTGATTGCAAAAATAAACCACGCATCGCCGAACACCAAATCCCTGCCAAAATATAGCATTAGGGGTTGGGACCAGACGACAATGCTTGAGTACCTCCAGATTTTTATTCAAAAGCTATAAGCAATTTTTTTTTTTTAATTTTTCAATGAGCTAGAAAATGGTTTGTACTGCTAGAGCTTGGGCAGAGGCTGAGCGCTCGGTGACATTTCTCCTAAACACTTGGTATATAAGCATTCCAGATGTATTATGAATATATATGGGACATTGTATTTATTGTATTTGTTTCACAATACTGCCAGCGTTTTTTTAAGGACCAAGGGAGGAGTAGACGATACAGTAGGGAAATTTACACAGCACCCTCTGCACTCTGTTTTGCGACATACCTTTTTAATCCGGGTTGACTGTCTGGTTTGCTCAAAACGCAGGATTGCGTTCCTGTCCTCGGTGCCACGACGACTTTCCGGCCGACTTCGCTGCTCGTTACTGTGCCGCAGAGTTGGGTGAGGTGCCCCGCCCCCTTTTGCTGCTTGTTTTCAAAAACCTCTGCAAGAGTCATTCTGAACATCTGCAACTATACTTTAGCACATATGCTTATGCTAAAAATGTTTGTTTGAAGCAGCAAAACCACCATTGCTTTCGTGCATTTTAAATTAAGCCCACAGTCCCCGTCCGAAGACGTTTCGACACAGTCTTTTTCTTTAACTCGCTTAAAGAATGTGTAAACATGTGACAAGACATGGCTAAGATATAGAAACTGTAGAACAGAATACTATAGTGTTAATTTCCAGATATTTACAGTAAAGAAATAACAATTTCACAGAATTGCAGCATTGGGGGATAATTAAAATGTGGCCTTATTAATTAACCTAGTTTTGTTCGGCTTGTGGTTGGCAAAATGGAAAAAAAGCCTACCACTATTTTTTTTTTTTAATAAAATATTTTTGTTTAAATTCTTAACCTCAATTTATTTTCTCTTTCTGGGAACAGTATACCTTATGCTAAATTGCTTGGTGGTCCGACAACACTGAGATCGTCTCCATTCTAATGTCGGCAAGCATTGTTGGTACCAAAGCACGGTGGAGGCATCAGGGACAACCGTAAAGGCAGTGTGCAAAGGTGCGGCAGCTGGGTTTTCCGCCTTCCGACCATGGAATGTGGACGAACAGTTCAAACAACTTGCGGCAACTGCTCTCGGAGGCCTGTGCACACTGGCGACAACCTGCAGTGTGTAAGCTTCCACAGTGAAGGCGTAGGACTTGCTCTGCTGCTTGGACGAGGTTGCCGCCAGCGTGCACAGGCCTCCGAGAATTTCGCCGGACAGCTGCGGTAGGTTGTTCAAACTGTTCGTCCACATTCCATGGTCAGAAGACGGAAAACGCAGCTGCCACGCCATCGCACCCTGCCCGTACGGTTGTCTCCGATGCCTCCACCGCGCTTCAGTGCCGACGACGTTTGCCAACCTTAAAATGGCGGCGCTCCAGACAAAGCAATTTCTCATAAGGTCTAGTCTTGTCAAAACAAGAAAAACACACCCAAAAGGTTTTTTTAAAGGAGCATGTGGACGTTGCAAATATTCTTTTTTTTTTTTTTTTTTCAATACTGTATTTGCTGATTTGACAGGTAGCACCAATGCATACCACAATTTGTTCGATATGCTAGTGCTTTAAATTAATTGGTAATTTTTTGCTGACAGCTGTAACGATTTTGGTAAAATTAAGTAGAAAAGAAGTCATGGACGTTCTTTCTTGTTAGAAATCACTTCTACAACACTTTTTTTTTATGCAGCATTGCGGGTTGAAGCTAGCAATGGCAGCACAAAGAAGCATACCCTCTGGGTGAGTGATGACCTGAGCCCCCCGTTAGAGAAGCCGGTGACCGTGGGCCGCTCTGCAAGCTACGAATTACGTGGACACTGCAGCTGCCCTACTCTCAGCAAAGGTAGAAGCCTCTATGCAAGGCATAGAAATTAGTAGATAGTTTTCAACATGTATTTCTTTAAACTCTTAAATTTGTTTCTTAGCCAGAACGAAATTCAGCAATCCAACTCAAGTCATGATAACAGGTTGTGCCATCTATATTGTGTGCCTTATTATGCTGTATACCTGCGAGCTCAGAAAACCAATTGTGCAATGTCACGTAGGCATGAGACAAAATCTTCACTCAATAAACTTTTATGATTGTTTACATTTGTGACATTGGCAACAATTAAGTTGCCGTGAAAGGTAAGTTTGCACTAGACAAATTAGATTAACATGCTTTTTCGAACAGTAAATTCACTAATGCAGGTTTTCTTCAAAGTGGAAAAACCATGAACTTCTATGTTAGTAGTACTTCACCATTCAGTCATTTTTGGTTTACCTGTTTACAGATTGTTACAACAGACAAATTAGATTAACAGATCTCTTGAGAGCGGGGATTCCAGTTTACAAAGTTTTAATTTTGTATGGGTAATACTACTTTCTGTCATTTTTGGTGAACATTTTTGTTTTTATGTCAGCTCGAGTTATTTTTGCTGAAGGAGCTACGGAAGGGCACGATCGACACGTCCTGCTCGTTTTTTTTGTCTGCAGGAGAAACATTTCTCGTCTTGGGTCCGAGCACAACGATGTCGACCGACGAAAAGAATGCGACGCATCTGCATCTCGCGCGCAACGTGGACATAGTGCACGTGCAGGATGCAACGATCTTGGAAACCACCAAACTTCACAGCGTTCGTCAGCGATGCTAGACATTTGCTCAAAGACATTCCAATGCTATGGCAGCTGCAGCATCTATCTGCATGTTTTTGCATGCTTGTGGCTTGCACAGTGCTCTGCCAGTATACAAGGTTTTTTTTGAAGATCCAGATCTGTTGTCACTAACGAGGTGGGAACAGCAGGGAGGAGCTTCTGTTGTCCCGCCTCCAATCTAAGGTTCCAACTTTCCACAGTGTTTCGGCATCTTGCACACTTAGAGCGCGCATGCGCATCCAAAGCATGTTGGAAGGCATGGAGGCCAGGCATTCGAATGACACTCCCTGGTGTTATCATTCTGTTGGTAACTATAGATGTTTGTCACCAAGGTTTAGAACTTGTTTTAGATGTCTTTATTGGGCTGGTCTCAATCTAAAGTAATATATATATTATATATAACTCTAAATCTACTTGTGCCAAAAAAATACAGGGTCTCCTTTTAGTGCTGTGTGTGACTTGGTAAAAAGTATGATTTCGGCAGCTTTTATATGTATGGTATCTGTGTTTGTTTGTTTTTTTATAGATTTTTGTAATACCGTAATATCCCAAGAGATGCTCCAACCCCCAACTCCTGAGAGATGATTCCCATCCTATTTTGGCAGGATTTGCTATTTTTTTTCGGAAATTGCCGAAAGATAGCCAGCCCACTTCTGGTAACTGCAGGGCCGTGGCCAATGGTAGCCTCGGCAGAAATGACGTGACTTAGCCACAACGGTAGATAAGCGAACATTGCTAACTGGGAAGGACAGTGGTCTTTGGTTCATCACCCGTCCTTGCAATGCAAAGTTTCGCAAATCACAGTATCTAAAACTAGTATTTTTTAAACTTTCTTTGATCGCACACTGAAAGATAGCCCACTCCATATTTTCACCTGATTGGCTTTCACTTTTAGGAGGGCTAACCCTCGGGGTATTACGGTTGACTTTTTTGGTCTTTGATGTGTATTTCAACTTTTCCGTAACTTATGTGATTGTTGATCTGAAGAGGCGTTTGAGACTTCACAAGACATAAGTTTGACTAAGTTTTGTGTTGATGCCGTTCGGTGCAGTATATAATATTTTAATAATTGTCATTTCTCTGCTCCTGACAATTATTGGTTGCATGATTATGAACAAGATGGATGGCTATCTTCTACAGTTTCGTTGAAGTCATCGCTCAAAGCCACAAGAGAAGCTAGTAGAACAGGGGTCTCAAACTCATTTGAGTGTGGGGGCCAGATAGCCTACCCCCAAAATGTTGAGGGCCAACATAGGGTGGGGGGTTAATATATATTGGGACAAAAAAAATGTAAAAAAAATAGGGATGGTGTTTCAGGTTGCAAAGAAGCCGAGTCTTTTAGCGACACCCAGAGATTTTCTAAAGAAGCGATCTCGTGCTACTTGCCTTTTGTAAAATGGTTGTTTTCTCAGTTCCGTCTTTAGCCTTGATTTATTCATACAACTACTAGTTCTGGTTTGTGCCTAGTGTAATTACAAGATTTAGAATGCCACTATCCAGGTAATGTGCTGGAATGTTTAGTACAACTATGAACGTACCACATAATCGTTACTATGTCGCTCAATTCACACGGAAAGTATCAGAGTTCAATATGTCTCGAAATTCTTTTCGCACGGTAATTTTTGCTTTCATGACAATTTTTGTAGCAGAATTAAAAGAAAATACTTGTGTCTTAACGGTATGCAAGACGAAACATTTCTCGATATAAGAGAAGACAGAATAGTGCCAAAATGTTACAACGTCGTAAGAGCAGAGCTATGCTTCTAGTGGAAATGAATGGACGACAAGAGGTCATTATTTAGGAAGCATGCAGAACTCGAGGCATATAGGAACAGGAATTTGCAGCAACGGGACACTTGCGGGCCGCGTCCAAGAGAGTCGCGGGCCGCGTGTTTGAGACCCCTGTGGTAGAACCTCGTGTATGTATACAGTCTCATTTGTTCGTTTTCAAGGTTCTTGTCTGACATGTGTATCAGTTTCCCATTTGTGTTTGTATAAAGTATACTTATCAAAGTTCCAAAAGCTGGCTTTGCAATCTTTTGGAATTGCTTGCCTAAACTTTCTTTGTCCTGTTTCGTTGGAAATGTTTCATTGGGTGCTGATGATGTGATTATGGACTTATTTAACAGTGTCGGCAGCTCTGGGAAGGTATCATATCATCTACAAATACACTGATCATAAAATGCAAACTGAAAATTCACTGAGGTGTCTAGCTTTTTAATGCTATTGGCCCAGGCCATGTAAAGGTGCGTTCATTCCACGTGAAGCATCCAGCAGTAAGAGAGGAAAATCTGCCAGTGTGACATCTACAGCCATACTCGTTACTTTCAATGCCGTATGAAATTGGTTCTTTTTGTGTCATTAGAGTTTGTATCCCTAAACAAGGCATTGAGGAAATTTAGCTGAATCAAATTTAATCCTACTCAAGTAGTACCAGTTTGTTGGATTTGTTACATCCTTGATCTCCCTGAAATGCTGGCCTCTTAAAAATAAAAAAAAGATAGTATCTTTTGTAATTTTTTTTTTCACAGACAGACAGACAGTCGGTGGATAGTCCGCACAGTCTGCTGCTGTTTATAAGCGTTATGGCGAATTCGCGTGGTCAATCGTCGGCAACTTATTTTGCCGGAAAACCGGCAATTGGCGGCGTCATAGAGTTATTACAATGTACGCTAGAGGTTCAAGTGGCGCTAGTGTGCTGCTGCAAATTGAAGCAGACAGCAACCAGTCGGAAATTGACTTCCGGTAATGCATTTCTATGGGAAAAAGCGAGTACATTTTCTTTCCGCGCTCGAATATAAGAGCAAATATCACGAATAATTCGTAGGTACTAGGTAGCTTGGAACATTTCTCAGTCAGGCCGACGAAATAATTGGTCAGTTACGGCGTTTTTCTTTCAAATTCATCAGATTAAAAACGGTGCTAAAACGGCTTCGTACGTGTATTTATGTCCACTGTCGGACACTGTTAGCGCGAACACGGCATCGGCGCTTTCCACCATGGGGATATACGTGTCAAACGAACGAAGGACACGTGGAAAACCAAGAGAGACGGCAAGAACTATGCAGTGACATTGGATAAGTAACTCCTTGTGCATGCAGGCGACCAAAATAAATTGAAAGCCACTTAATATAGTCCGATTTGCATTAAATAAGTACTGCTTTATTGCTCATGGGTATGTGCAAAGATGCATGTTCTGGGTTCAAATCGTCAACCGCACGCTCCAAATCTTTGCAAATAGCGAGAGGTCAGAGAACAGGGGCCCGATAAGAACTGCCCGACATAGGAAATAATAAAAAGGCACATTTTTCGTAGTCCACGTACTTTATTTCTTACATTCGAATGTTTTTTACCCGTCGTAAAGATGCACGACGGAGTCATTTTCATAGAGTGACAGGACGGGCATATTAGCAATATATAAGCGCCACCGCAATGCTAGCGAACCTTGAACACACTCTACATTCTTTTCGATCGTTAGTTTGCTTAGAATCGTCGCTCGTTTTTACATACCTGCCATGGAACATAGGTTTGGGCCTGAAATATAGCGAAGCTTAACATCGTTCAGTGGTAAAGAAAAATGCTGTTTTAAAGCAATTACACTTTTACAATATTAATAAGTGTACATACTATCCGGTACAACCGAAATAATAAAAGCCATTCGTGTTATTTTCCGGCGAAGAGGCAAATTTCACGCGCGTTTTCCCATAGGAATGCACAGGAGCACCGCAAAAGTAGACTGGTTGCTGTCTGCTTCAATTTGCCTCCCGGAAGTCGCATAGACACTAGCGCCAGTTGAACCTCTAGCGTACATTATAATAACTCTATGGGCGGCGTGTGCGAACTATAGGGGGCGCTTTCCAGCTATCATCATCATCGTTTGTGACGTAAGCAGTAGGACTGGTGAATGCCTCCTCCTAGGTCGGCCGTGCTACGCTTCGGTGCTCGGGTGGCGTTCCTTTTAAAGTTTTCTAGACGCGACAAAGGTTGTTTCACGCGTTGTCCAAGCGCCGAGATGGTGGTGTACTGCTCGGTACCGCAGTGCAACACCTACCACGGTGAGACGGGCGCAAGTTTTTATTATTATCCGCGCGACAGGAAAGTCAGAAAGGAGTGGCTGACCAAGTTGAAAATGGGCAAGACGAACTCAAAAAGCTCTCGCGTATGTAGTAAGCACTTCGATGAAAGTGACTTCGTGTACCCTTGGTTCACGCAGTTCCGTACGAATGCTTGGAAACAACTACAGAGCCGTGCTAATTCCTTACCTTGGACGGAAGCGTCGGTATCGGCGAGCTCCATACCACCACAACGACAACGCGCGCGTGCACAGTTGTCCCCTCACGCCCTGCTGAATGCGAACTTAACGCTGCTAGATTAAAATTAGATTAAACTAATCAGGACTAACAGACAAAGAATCGCCACACGCTTAATCCAGAACAAAAGAAAGTCAGCAAGCACCACCAGCGCAACCGCGCATCCGCGTTGGACTGCGCGCGCGCTACCAAGTTCTAGGCTTGCTCTCGAACATCTTAAAGCTGGTATCTATCAAGAGAGCTTAGGAGGGGCTGCCGTTCAGTCCCACAAAAGCTCATGACACGTCATAAAATTTTAAAAATAATTATCAATCGTCCCTGCTGTAAACTAACAGAAATGTCTCATACGATTACATATAGCGTCGTCTGCTAGCATCCTACTGACTAGGTTACAGAAAGCATCCGCGAGGCGGCGCCACCCAAAGATCTCGTCGCCCTCGTCGCCAATAGTGTTCGCGTGGTCAGTTTCCGGCCGGCGCGCACCGTTCGGGTGGTGGTTCTCCGGCAAGCACCGGCAACTTTCCGGCGCTTTTTCCGCCCGAGCTCCGAACGGCCGGGCGAGTGGGCGCCAGACTGTATCCGGTGTCGTCACTTCCGAAATGAGAGAGAAGGTCAGTGAGAAAAAAAATGGACGAAAGAACGAAACTGATCTGAAGTAACTTTAGCAGCCGCTACGAAAGTCAATCCAAGTCGTAGGCTCTCGCTAGCGGTGTCGCGCGGGCAAGAGGCGAAGTAAACTGCCACCGTCTGGCGTTTCGTGTTCGGGTGGTGAGGGTCACGTGGTGTGCCGCCGGCGCGTTTCTGGTTGCCGGTTCCGCCGGCTCGTTCTCGCCGGCAACTGACCACCCGAATTCGCCATTAGAATAGCTCAGAATTCAGTTTACAACGTTAAATTATCACTGTTTATATTGCTGAGAGCGTTCAGTCTTCGCGATTACCATTGCAACTGCTGTCCTTCAGCTGGCAACATTGGTTTCTTTCTCTCGTGTTTTGTCGCTCTTTCGCGATCTTTCACTCGGGACCCAGGATGTCGGCCAAGGTAAAGCCCCTTGATAAAAGCGTTTTTTACAAGTACCGCCAACCATTGTTGTGGAAGCGCTCGAGACACGTGCGATGAGCGGGTGCTCCGCCGCCATTCGCTTCCAAGGCCCGTTCATTTCAGTGCTGCGCCGCCATTTGCTTCCAAGGGCCGCTCGAGACATGGGCCTCGTGCACTCGCGCATTTGACGCTACTTGCAAGACGAGTGCAAACACATCGAGGGGCTTTAGGCCAAGGAGGTTAGAAGTAGAGCACTATATAGCTCCTTCGGAGCAGAGTAGCGCAATCTAGAACGCCGCCTCTCGGCTACTAGCGGCGAACGCCCGGAGGTTCCAACTGCGGTCAGAAATGCATGGAGAACGTGAGAAAATCGTTGTTTCTTCAGTTTTGTGGGGATGTGCGGAATGGAAATCATTTTTGACATAATAATGAAACATTTTAGAATAAAATGCGATAAGTTTTGTGCCATACAAGGACGTAACTTTTTTTAAAAAATTGCCTGAGCGGCATCATGCAGCAGACGACACGGCGACGTCACACCATTCACGTGACCCGCTCCGGCCAACCCGAAAAGCCCATCTCCGCTGCGAGCAAAAATCGTCTGCTTCAAACGCCATTGCCTTGGAAATTGCCTTCTCAAAATTTGCACACGCATCCGATATTATTAAAACTTTGATAAAATGTTTAGCGCTTTACTAACTTCACGACAGGCTAGTTTTGAAAAATGTGAACTCGCCGTTAGTTTTTTAATCAGCCGTGTTATGTCGATCTCCATGTATTCTCCCATAGGGCGGGCCGCCTCCTGGAACCCTGAGTACCACGTGACTCGCGCCGAGCCGCTCTGTCGGCCATGTTGTCGGCAAAACACGGGGTTCAAAGGATTGCGCTACTCTGCTCCGTAGGAGCTATATAGTGCTCTAGTTAGAAGTACTAGGAGAGGGCACGTTGCAATATTGGTGTTTGGTGAAGCCTAGTCATAAAAAGTTTAAACGATTTTGTGCCCAGCGTGACCGCAGATCTGCCTGGCGATTGGTGCGCGTGACATGTCACGTGTGAGATGGATGGTTGATTGTAGAAGGACTCCCTGCAGGCTTGCGCGCGCTCCGTCCGGTTGGTTTTATCAGATCGAAGGCTAGACTGTGGTGTATTCTAGTACCCCATAGCAAGACGAAGGCTAACTACTGTCACGTGATGTGGTCACGTTGGCATGGTAAGTGAGGAGAGTAAGGAGGAAAATGAGAAAGAGGCGAGGCGTCAAGGGAGCATGACTTGTGGAGGCTACGCGGCTGACGTCATGCCCTCTCCTACCCTTCTATTCTCCATGGCTATGTTCCAAATCTTACCCGAGTAACCTGCCTCCTACGTCAGCGGGTAATACCACGTGACATCGCGAGTAAACGATCCGCGACTCGATTTTGGAACGGCCGGGTTAATTACCTGGATACTATGCGGATTGGCTTTGTCTTGGGCTACGACAAAAAGAAACCACAGCAGCGATGGCAGAAAATAGCAGACGATCTTTTTGATCATCAAGAAAGCACTCGAAGAGACGATAATAATTATGACGACGCGGTGTTTTTGGGGCGGATTCACCAGCTCCTTTTACTCACCTTCTTTTTGAGCTGTATATTGAAATAAAAATTACCTACTCCTTACAGTTAGACATTAAAAAA